ACAGCGACATCTGTCTTTCTCTCTGGCATCTCGCCGGATGGCCAGATAGGGTTGTGCTGCAGAGGGTTCGCACTTCGGGAAATGTGATCTCTCTTCTCTGCACCTGCACGTGACGGAGGCGCACCTCATGTCTGGAGGTGCCTCTGTGATCTTGAGGAACTTCGGCTGAATGTAGGGCCTGCAAGAATTGCGGTGAGATTCTTGCGAAGACGCTCACGAGCTACGAGCTGCTCAGCTCGTCGGCCTTGCCATGTTGGCGGCCAGCTTAATGACTTCCTGGGCTTAAGCACGTGGGGACGGGACGAGGCACATGAAAGGCAGATTCCGGACACGACGATGGCTTTGCCGCCGGGTTGCAGAAAGATACGAGGGTCCATGAAAGTGGCACACTCGAAGGGCACGATGGTATGCCTTGAGCATGCCCTCCACGCCTGGATCGGGCGCACACTTGAAAAAACGTTGACGGCTCCATTTTCTGAGAGGCCTTCGACTTCAGGTTGAAAAAAATCACCAGTAAGAGCAAAGCAGTTGGAGACGACCTTGGCACGGGGGCTTCTCTAAACTTCCTCCAATCATGCTGCGCTGTCTTCGCGTCAAGCTTCGATACTCTGCACACTGCACCGTTCTCTGTTCTCGCCTCTGGGCAGCGAACTGAATGTGACGGTGGTATTTTGGCCCCGAAACCATAGATGGGATAGCATTTGTCGTTATCGTACACAGACATTACCTCCCCAAGGGCTCTGATAGCTGTCGAATAGGCCGTCTCCTCTTCCATGTTCACCACACTATGCCTCGGATAACCAAAGTGGATCGACAGAACAAGCTTTTGCCAGAACTTCAGTCGAGCAACATCGACTTTGGGTTTGTCTGGCCAAGGTTGGACCGCGTGAAGTCTACCGCCACCATGAGCTGAAGCTCCAAGCCGCCACGCAAGTAGTCCAGAAAGGTATAGTGCCGCTTGAACCGGTGTCCATCTAATGTTACGGAGCCCACAAGCGGCCCAAAGTTGCCTTTGCCACCTCCCGAGGAACGTGCGGTAAGCGGTAGTTTACAGCTTGAATTTGCACTCGCACCACCTCAGTCAGGGCCTTGCCTTGGTTTCGAACTTCTGAGGATGTCATTGACATGGTCTTGCTGCCACCAGATGAGTGGCTCATCCTCGAGTGCCCCGAGATTTGTGAAGAGGTCCTGCACGGCAGCATGGGCCAAAACGTGCCGAAGTCTTGGCCTCTTCCTCCCCAAGCCTGTGACCGCCGCTATTGCCGCCGGATATCTGTGATGCTGTCCTCCAGCAAACCGTGAGTCTGCTTGCGATCTGAAGCAGCACTTCCAACCCGTCGTGCACCCTTAAGACTGCACGCGATGATGCAGTTTCAGTGCCCAACGACAGCTTACCCGTCAACTTCACAGACGTGAATGCAAAACAGAGACAGCACCTGCTCAGGCCCGGATCGCCAAAAGACCTACCAGTACCAAACGCTCAATTGCCGTAGGCGCATTGTGAAGATGAGGGTTTCTGGGACTGCCTATGATCAAGATGAACAATCAACCGGAGCAATGCCACCACCAGCAGCAGCATTATCACCACCATTGCTCTGCCAACGCAGGCAGGTTCAGAGTTCAGCGAGCCGCACGGGTTTCCAGCCACTTTGCACTAGTAAGTGGACCTCTGGTCGGAGACCTGGGGCCTCGGTTGGGGCAGAATGCTCTGTCCGCTCCAAAGCGCTCCTGGCTGTGAGTCGGGACGTCGTTCGCTTCTCGCCCCCAGAGGCATTGGTGCTCTTCCTGCCGGAGCTCTGCACCACACTCTGACTCTAACGAGCACTTGCCGGAAGCACATGACGGCGGACTCAGAGCGGTACCGACTTCTAGCAAAGAGTTCCGGAGTCACAAGAGTGCCTCTGCATCATCCTCCTGCTACTCTGCCGCCTCTGCCTGGTATCATCCCGTCCCATCTGTCCCTGTCCTCTTGCTATCTGTCCGCTCCGCGGAGAGGGTGGATTGCGCACGTGAGTTGGAGCCAGACCTGGCCCCCCAGCATGCTGCCACCGCCAAGAAACAAGAGAGGCACCCGCTGCGCCTCGAACCCGATCCGCTTCTGCTGCTCTTCGTCGCAGATCGTAACATGGCCGCTGTGGTCTTCACGCGCGTCATGCCCGAAATCCTGCACTCTAAAAGCAGTCCTGACACCTGCCACTGATCCTTGTGGTGGCCTGGGGCCCTCCCGTTTGTAGAGCGGGAAGGTGTGTGGATTTCCTCTGCCGACGATTTTCTGCAGCTCCTCAGAACACCGAGCAGTCGAGCAGGCTCAAATCAGAGATGTTGTCACATAGCAATGAAAACCGGAAGTCCAGGCCTCGAAAGTGGTGATGCACTCACCGATGTAACGATCCTGACCCAATCGGAACCAGTCATGCACCTCGGCTTCCGTTCCGCGTCAGGATCTCGTAAAGCGGCCGACCCAACGAGGTCCGATCCGTGATGATCACATCCTGGTAGATGTCGCAAGCGCTTGTCTGAGCCACTGTGTAGCTGCTCTCCTTCGACCCAGGCGAATCCCCTCACATGGCCGCTGCTTCCCTGTCTCTCCAAGCACCACAGAGGGTCCTCGTAGGATGCCTCGCCCGTCTTTCGAGCAACTTCGCTTCGGTAAACCGGCGCCAAGAAGAGCTCACCGGTGTCGTACACACCCTGTGCAGGACAAGGCCACGAATCACAAGCCAAATTGGGACTCAACCGAGGTGATATCGAAAAACAATGCAGGGCTCAAGCCACATGCCTCAATGCGGTTCATCATAAAGTACGGATCGCATTTCCTCTTCCAGAAGTCTGTAGACTTCAGATCATGCGCAGACAATTGGAAGGAAAGCTCCTTACAGGAAGCCGTGACAACAGCTCACTCGAATTGCAGGTTGTCTCGTCATGTCTGCTGCAGCTTGGGAACGACCTTTGCATTTATAGATTCCTCTGCATAGATGAGGAGCTTGCCAAGGGGAGGATCGCGCGGCTTCCTCGCGGACTGAAGCTCTGGCAGCGAGTAAGAAACCCACTTCGAGCCGGGACTCGCGCGGGGACTTGTAAATGCACACACGGGAAACTTCGTGCACTGCCCAACTCTGAGCCCGCATCGCAAAAAGCCTAAACTATACGAAGCAAAGCCTTTCAAGCAAAACCTAAGCCCAATATCTGAACCTGGAAAGGCCCACAAGCCAAGACTCTGGAACCCAACAAATGCTAAGACCTAGAAAACTCCAAGAGCCGTAAATCCTTCAAACCCGAACAGCTTAAGACCCAAGACCCGAAGAAGCCTGAAACTAATCGAATCCTCGGAACCGTAGAACCAAAAACCCTAAACCATCCCTGAACGCTGAAAAGCCGAATCAGGATTGTGTCTTCGAATCGTGCTTAAATTGCAAAGCCTGAAACGAAGGTCGCGGCCAGTGCTTGAATCGTGATTCGATGCGATGCGCGAGGTAAAGCAAAACAACCTGAAGAGAAAGGCAAAAGCTCCTGCGCACATTCTCCAGCTTCTTCTTGAGCCACCCATGATTCTTCGGGTTGCATCTTGCGTACACGGCCTCTGCCAGGTTAAACTCGGCGGAGCCAACGAACTTTTGCTCCATTAGATCTTCTTGCATGTTCTGGTTGCCTCGCATCTGCATTCAAGATGAATCAAGTTGAGTCGTTATGGTGGCTCGCAGCTGGAGAAATACTGAAAGTTGTGCCAAGACACGGATTATGTAAATTTCCACCCTGATCAATCGGACATGCTCCTTAGATGGATGGGCTCCGAGACTTCCTGTAGCAAACTCCGCTTAACGCCGGAATTTACAAACATTGATACTGGGTAGGGCAAGCGTGGTAAGTCTCGCGGAACTTGCCTGGTGCCAAACACCCGCCGCTGCTAGCTGCTGTAGCTGCTGTGGAAGCTGCTGCCTGTGCCTCTCGTGCCAAGTGGCTATTCGAAACTGCAGCTCGAACATTTTCTCCCACACAGGCCAGCAAGTTTCCTGCCCGCAGATCTCAGTCGAACCGTACCTGGACAGATGTGCCACTATGACTGTTGGCCATACATTGAAGCAAGTTGGCTGATAAGGCCAGGCGCTCGGTCCAAAGATCGTCCGTTCCCAACTTGGAATATACCACGGCAACCGTGTTTCCTCAGCTGGAAAGCTCATTGGTCAGAAGACCTCGTGGCCATCTTCTCGGTAAGTGGACCAATTCTGAGCAAAGCGTCGTCCCTTCCGAAGGCCCTCGCATCGCAAACCTCACCAACACAGACAGCCACAGACCACTTCGGTTCGCATGCCGTCGCTGTCGCCGGGGAACTGAGAAGAACGGTAGATGAGTAGTCGTGCAGGAGCACTTCTGCGTCTGGTGCAACCATGCCTGGGACGACAGTGTCGCACAAAGTCTCGTACATGTCGCAAAACCACTGAATTCACAACAGGTCCGACCAGCAACGAGGTGCCTTTCGCCTTAGGCGAACCATCTGAAAATTCGACCACCTCATCCTTTGCGGCGCTGTGCCGGCCGCCCATGTTTCCAGCTACATCAGACCATGCTAAAACTCGGGACTCTGCGCATCCCCCCCGCACATGAGAAGCCCCAAGTACATGCACTACCTGACTGACCTGGAAGAGCTGTGGAGACGGGCTGGGAAACAACCTTGCTGATCCAAAATTATCGCCCCTCCCAGCATAGGCACCATCCCTGGGCCACCCTATGGAGACTCGAGCCAATATCCATAAGGCATGGAGCGTCGCAGGATCGGAACAGCAACCCACTTGCAGGGGCAGCTTTTCAGTCCAAAGGCTCCGTGGACTTGTGCCACGGACAGCGTGGAGTGTATGGAGCCCGAAATTCGTTGGACACCTGGCTCTGCGGGCCGAAAGTCGGGACCATGGCTTGGCGCCGTGCGTATGGACCGATTGATGCCATAGCTTGACATGAAGCGGGCACAATGCCCAGGGGATCAAGGCACTGCGCCCACTGGGCCGTCAGCTTCTGAACACAATCCTCGATGGGGCACACATGTGCACATTGGGCATTGCATCTCGACAGGAATGAAAGCTGCCAGAGAGCCGAGAAAGGAACCCAGGAATCTCCCGAAGTCCTGGCTGGGCCGTGATACTGCAACAGATGCAGCAAACTTGCTGGAAAGACTTCTACGTGGCCTTGGAGACGAGGGAGGTTAGGGATCTGCAGCTCAAACGTGCTTGCATCCTCGGCCTGTGCACGCTTCATGATGGGCCCAGGCCGGTGAGTGCGCAGGCCGGCGGGCACAAGCCTTGGCGGCCTTGGCGCTGGCCACCATCTGCTCCTCCGACAAAGGCTTTCTCTCTTCCCCTTCCCTGTGCTCTCCAAACTGCGCGGCACCTGCCCAGGCACGAAGAAGCTGCAGGGCGGCGAGTGGCCGTGGATGTACTTGGAGCGGAGGCAATGAACCGGGTTTGCAGAGAACCAGGTGCACGGTTCCTTGGTCTTGCAACATTTCCGCCAGGTGCACGATCTATTCAAACAGAATCTTTGCTCAAGCTTCCTCAGCCGCGACGTCTTCAAAGCGGGACGGCCGGAGAGCTGCCGTCACCTCGACCAGATCTGCACTTCTGCTGGCATCAAACTGCGGAATACTACAGATGCCGCAAAGCAGCCGGCGCACTTGAATTGGCCAAGCGTGGAACCAAGAAGAGGAGCAAAAGAACGTGTACGACCTGCGGCGAATGCACCAAGAGCCAGCTCTGGACCCGTTACAGGTCACACATGCAGAAACCAATCGCAAGGTACCGTGTGAAGCACGCCAGCAGCTACGCAAGTAAGGATCAGGTGCTGCGCTTCCATGCCTTCAGTGTCAGCTTGGAAAGCCTTCTCGCACTCTGTTGACTCTGCTGTCAACTTCAGGGCAAGATGCAGTACCCGACACCCTGGCAGTTGCCCTTGAAGACGAGGCAGGCTGCAAGCAACCCACAGCTCGGTGCCAACATTGCCTTTCAAATTCAAACAGCACCTCCAAAACAACCCACAAGAACACCGTGCAATCCCACCTGGCACCACCAATCCACCTGCATGGATGCGAAAGTGGCGGCTGGTACTACCCGCAGAATGCGCCAATGGTCCAGCAGGTAGATGTAAGCCTCTTGCAGGTCCACACGAACGCGAGACATCAAGCCTTCTGCTGCCACGGCAAACAACGCTCCCTTTTTCCGCTCGATTCTGTTGCAGAGCTGCACAGCTAGGCCTGACCTCGGCGAAGCTCAAGGGAAACATGGTAAAGGCTACACATCAGGCAAGGTGCCAAGGTCACTTGCATCTGCAAGGCCTTGCCGACCCAGCTAGGCCTAAATCTGCCGGCCGATGTTGATATCCAAGCCACAAATCCTCCAGGAGGTCGCGCGTTTGCAGGTGCTCTGCTGCTGCTGCACACGCTTGCAGGACACTACCATAGCCTCACAGGTTGCTCCGTGTCTGAAGTCTCGTGCGCTACAACATCAGTAGGTCAAAGTGTAAACATCTCGTTCGGATGCGTCCAGGCTGCACACAATGCTCGGTGCAATCTTGCACTGCCTCATAGCTCTTAATACTCCTTGGGCCTTGCCAGGATCTGAGACATCACGCGGAAACAAACAAAAGCACTGCCGGCTACCTTGGGCCAGTCGCCCAGGGTCTCGTAAGCCTTGGTGGCCACGGCGTAAGAGACCTCGTTCGGAGCGACTGCCTGCCACCAGAGCTGCATTTGGAATTCATGCGGGTCGCAACGCTCAAAGGGCTGCCTGAAACAAGCTTTCGTACATGCGGATGGACAGCGCCGCATGGCCGGCCATGTCGCAGGCGCTCATGGCCGCATTTACGGTGATCGCTGTCGGTGCGAGGCGCTGGTGACCCATACCTCAGTAGAGAAGGTTCAGATCATCCAAGCTCCGGATCCAAAACCCCAGCCAGTCAGTCTGGAAAAGGATCGGTCGAAGGTTTCGAAGAACACCAACCAGCTGTGAAATGTGTAGCAGCAGCGTCGTCCTTCTTTCACCGTCTGTGTTTAATCCGGAGGCCACCACATGCCACCACTTGGCTGCTTTGTCTGTGCTGGCCAACCGCTCCAGCGGACGAAAGCTGCCACAGAGGATCACTGAAAGTGAAAACATACACAAAGCACGTGGGATTCTGGACTTTGGAGGCGGCCTACTTGGCATAACACGGTAGCTCGGGAGATGGGGGTTGCAACAAAGCTGCATTCCAGCGAACTCAGCGCACGTTGCCAGTCTGCAGCGATGGAAAAGCCATTGATGAGGGAGTTGTAGCTGATCACATCGGCACGAAGCGCTGCTTCTGCCATGCCCTCAAACCTCGCCGTGTCTGGGCTTTTGTTCGGCAAACTATCATAACCCTCCTCACGCCTCATGCAGACAAGTGGCAGATCCAAGGCAACGAGCCAGCGGCCGGCTTTGGCACAGCTACTTATTGCGGCGTTGAAGGTGATGAGGTTCGGTAGAATCCTCATGCCATAGTGTGCACACGAAGCTTCAAGAGTTGCAACCCAACCCTTCGGCACGGACTATCTGCGTCAAAGCCTCAGCTGAAAATCCATGACTGTCAGCACCTGTAGCGCATCTTGCCATCGCCAGTCCTGCAGGGCGCGGGAGCAAGGCTTCACAACCAGGTGTTGGCACACCGGAAAATGCGAATCAGGTCACACAGGACATGCCACCAAAGCCACTCTCCGGCCGGCGGTTCCTTCTCACAGGCACTGACGACGGCGCTGTACGAGATCACCTCTCATCGGCTTGAAGCATCAGGCTCTGCCGGCATTGATGCGCTTGCCCACTGGTTCATTGCGATTCTTTCACAGAGCCTACCATGTCCTGAAAAGTTGTGATGCGTCTCGACTCTAGCAGTTGGATTGGATACAGAAGGCATCTCGTTCAAGGCGCGTCCGGTGTCAGAGACAGATCCATCATCTCATCCAGGAGGTGGAAAGCATGCTCAGCGCAACTACCTTTTTCGCAGGCACTGATCGTGGCATTGTACGTCGTGACCTCACACGTCGGTGCATGCCATGCATATTCCGGCCTGAAGGTAGGATGCTCAGCCTATGGCGTTTGGAAGCTGATTCGGCCGCATGGCGTGCAAGAGCCTCGCGTCGCCCGGCTCCCAAAGGCAAGACTACGTAAGACCGTTTGGGTCGGCTTGAGCTCAGGCCGCCGACTTAAGTGCCCGCATCCACTGTCCACCCTTCTCACAGGCAGTGATCGCAGCATTGAAACCTCACAGCTCAGAGGCTCAGATGCATGAACACAAACCAGACACAAGTGTAGGCGTGTTGAGACATCAGTTTCTGGCTAGCACCCAAGTTCTGTTAGTTAGCCAGTTTTCTGGCCAACACGCAAGCCCATCGCCCTAGCTCAACATGCCCAAAAGTCGTCAAACCAGTCAACTTATTCTGTGCTCTCTTGGCTTATGCTCATGCAAGGAGCTGATGACGTCGGGAGAATCCTTCTGAACGAGCTCCTCAAATCGAGGGAGCGGGAAGAAAGATCAGATCAGCATGCAAATGCCACGAGTTGTAAGACTAAGAACTTGCAGGACCCACGGAGCCTCTAACAGGTTCACAGCCTCCCGCCAACGAGCAGCCTGGGACCACAAGGTGCTTAGATGTGCTTAGCAATCGCGAAGGCTTGCGCAGATGCGAACAGCCTTCCCACATGCGCTCATACACGAGTTGTAGCTGATGACATCTGCTTCTGCCTGAACAGCCTGAGCTCCGGGACGTGCAGGCGACGAGACAGGATGGCAAGTGACTTGCTAATACCGAAGGCGCAATCAAGATACCCGCATGCTCTGCAGCAGCCACAATGCCGCCTGCCATTCCGCACTCTTCTCGCAAGCACTGATCGACGCATTGTAACCTGCCATGGCGTCGCTGGACTGAGCTCGACGGAGAGAGAAGCATGGGCCGCATGGGTCTGCAGATGTTTTTGTGGCAAAGCGGCTCAAGGTATTCGGCGCGACGTGCCAGTCAACCATAGTGGCCAGCCTCAGCCAAACCACGATTCTCGTGAAAAGTGAATCAGAAGTGCTTCCTGGACGCATACGATCATGTACAATCTCGGTGTCCCAGGAACAACTGCAAAGCAGCCCGCCAATCATTGACCTCATGAACAAACCCAGAGGCGTGGTAACACGAAAAGCATCGTATGGAGTGCCTTCTCGAGGGCACTGATCACTGAGCTGCAGTGGTACACGTTCAACTTCACATCACTGCTTCGCATGGTGCCAAGTACCTCCAAAGGTGGAAACTGCAAATGTCTACACTTGGCCCCGCTGTCGGCGCGCTGGCCTTTTGCGCCAGGTCCGCTTGCCTCTGCTTGGCGAGTCGACTGAGAAGGGCCGTGCAGAACCTGCTGCGTTTTGTGACTCTGAGCCCTGCTTCTCTGTCGCGCTTCGTCGCCGTGGCCGCCGTTGCCCTTTTGTCGCGCCTGGGATTCATTCGCCAACTCTCCAGGAAGGGATGCAGCACCTCCGGCTCCAGCAGGTCAGTTCAGTCTGCAGCGTGTGCCTTGCATGCCTGCTGAAGCTCTGCATCGTTGGCATCGGGTGGTAGGGTTTGTAAAGCCGAGAGCTCTGGGAGCTCCGCCTTCGGTCCTCGCACCAGTGACGGGTCCCCCGGAAGTCTGAGTCTGAGCCGTAGTACTAGCTTCAGAAAGACGGCGCGCCTCGTTCTTTGTGTTTGCACTCCATGGCAATTCTGGGCGGGAGGGCTTGAGCAGCTCATGCAGCACGGCGGGCAGGAGTGAGCACGAGCAGGACGTGGAGCAGTTTTACATGATCCGTGCCTGCCTGGCAGACGGCGAGCATCAAGAAGATCCAATGTGTGTAGCCGCCTGTCGGGCAAAAGGTTGTGAGAAGTTGTGCTCCAAACTTCGAGCCTGGGAAGAAGAACATCATCACCTGGCTACATGACACAAGTTTCAACCAGTGTTCATCACGGCCGCCATTTCTTGACAATCATCATTGAGCGACGGCGAGAGAGATGTTCAGGAGCGAATCGGCATAGCGGCCGAATTCGAAGTCGTTGGCTGAAAGCAATGCTGTGGCAAGCATGGGGCTCCTGAGCCAGCTGAGCAATGCGCGGGTCCCGACCGCCTGATCATGCAGACCAGTTTCATCTCGGGATGCGAGCGCACCAGCAAGATGCCAACACGCAGTAGGCCCTACAGGTGTCAGCAGCTTTCTTGCAAGACTTCCTTCCTAGACAAGGCGACTGAGCCGCTGGCGTACACCGTCACGAGAGGCTCACAAACAAATGGCACCAGAAATGTGGAAGGGAATGCATACTCGTACCTGAACCCACCAGGTTAGCCGAACTGGGTGCGGACTTTGGTCCTGTTGCAGCCAAGCATACAAATTCTGCCCCATCGCACGCTGAATGGCATAAGCCTTGCGGCTGCACCAGCAGCAGAAATCCATGACTCTACTGCTCTGGTGCTGGACACGCTAAGTCGAAACTGGAGCACGCGAGAACTGCCGCGACCTCGAAGCGCTGGACAAAGTACGGAAGCTTGGACAGAGGGGTCCCATCGTGCGTGCGGAAGCCCATGTGAACCATGACCGCGAAAGACATTTGGTAGGTCATCCTGCACAGGTTACAGGTTTCAACCCTTTCCAAGACTGACTCTCTCTCTCTCTGTCTCTCTCTCTCTCTCTCTCTCTCTCTCTCTTTTTCTTTCACACAGCCAAATGGAGCAGCGGTCGCTAACCCTTCCGCACACAAGGGTGCAGTGGTTTAGTACTCTCCGCCCGCTTGCTTGCTTGCTGAGGGGTGTGGGTCCCCAGGGAGACACTGGCCCGCGAGGGCCTACCCCCCCGCGCTTCAAAGCCCACCCACTACATTGAGTGGGTATTGCGGGGAGTGAAGAACGAGTGTAATCTTCGCCCGCTCTCTGTCTCTGTCTCTGTCCTCGATGCAAGATCCTAGGCACAAAAGCTGCATCCAAGCGTCACGAGGTCCAGAATTATGTTGAGCGACACGGAAACCAAATACAAGATCCTCAGGAGTTAACGTTCGAGGAAGATCTTGCGGCCTTCATCCTACAAGCCCCTGCGAGACTCCAGGGTCTTCACAACACGACTCGAATCATGCAGGCCAGCGGCATGTAGCAAGCTTCCCGTGTCTCTTTGTACTTGAAGCCGACGCTGTCAGAAACTCTTGCGCAGATCTCATACATGGAAGCATTGCCAACGACGACGATCTCAGAGATGTCCCCGCTAGCCCGATCGCAGCGGAAGGACACATAAAGCATGGCAACTACATGCTGTTTAGACAAACAAACAGACGCAGTAAGCGTGACGCCACGGAAAAGCTTAGGTTGTAGATGAGCCCGGGCTGTCGTCCACCCTGATGGACAGGTATCTGGCGGTATCTGTTCCTGTTCGAAGGACATACTTCTAGTGCGCAGCCTCGTAGTTGAAGGTGAGGACAGACCAAACATATGGCAAATAGAAAACACCTTAGTCACAGTCCATGAACCAATGCCGCCCCGCTGCAAGGCTGAAGGCACCAAGCTCACGGCATCCCCAGGTGGTCAAGCCAGCGGCAATGCAGAAAAGACCTGCCCGGAGAGTCAGATTTCCAGCTTCGTGCAAACCGGCACATGCAGCTGTGGGCTGCCTTTGGTGATCTTCCAGCACTTGGCGCGCACGGAGGATCGGCTGTAGTTTTGCCTTAGGCTTCACTCCAAGAGCATGTGGCGCCACATTGTCATATCTCCATCCTCTCTTTCAGGACTCGAATCTTCTGCCTTCTTTTTGCATGTGCAAGAAAGTGGCCAGTAAATGCCCCGCGGCTCGTGACGAGCTGCCTCGGCTCGAAATGAAGGGACAAATTGAAATTGAACAGTCTTGCTCACATTCCTCTTCTTCTTGCTTTGAGCATTGACAAACAAGGTACGACTAGCACTACCGGGACGCTTTCTAAGTTTACCTCCAGCCCACTGTTCTCATTCGGAGTGGCCGCTTGCGCAAAAAACTCAAACCCTCAGAACGGTATGCGGGTGGCAGCTAGGTGGGGTGGCGAACCACGAGTGAGAGCTCGGCCGAAGCCCAAGACCCAAAAACGAGCGACTGCTTGCCTAACCTACAAAGCGAGTAACGGGCTCGCAAGACCCAAAACACGAAACGGAGCAAAACATCTTGAGGAGTCACTACTTAAACCCCAAACCTTAGTCGTGTAAACGGGTGGCAAACCCAAAACCCTAAACGGAGCAGTGGCAGTGCTGTGCCAGACAAATGCCAGTGACACGAGGCAGATCGGGTTCAACTGTCGCAAGTGTTTCTTCAAGAAATAATATGAGGGCCTTAGATTTTTGTTTGCAGTCTAATATGCCCAAAATCTTATTGACTGCCTGCCTGACCTAAAGGGAGTGACGGGCTCCCGCTTCCCAAAAATCCTGTTGCACGGACTTGCACATGCTCGCCTGGATCTCGGAGCTGCTGTAAACCCTAGTCTGGCAGACTGGCGGCAAACCCGAAACCCTAAAAAGACTTCCCAAAGACCCCCCAAACCCTACGCAAATAGACTGGTAGCAAAGCCGAAACCAAAAAAAGTGCAGGTGCTAGCCCGAAACCCCAAACCCGAAAATGGGTGAGCTGAGTCGTTTGACAAAGCGGGCGGCAAACCCAAAAAGCGAGTGCCAGGCCGAAAACCCGTAAACCTTAAAGGGAGTGCGTGCCTGCCTGACGTACTAGCAAAAGAGTGACCGGCTTTCAAAAAACAGAAAACACTAAACGGAGTGACTACTTCCCTGAATGCAAAACCCTAAACGGGCAGACTGGTGCCAAACCCGAAACCCGAAAAGGAGTGACTACTTCCCAAGGACCCAATACCTAAACGGGTACAAAAGGTGTCGCTGCTTGCCCGTGGGTGGCAACCGACAAGCAAGTGCTGGGCGGACCCAAAACATCTTAAGGAGTCACTACTTAAACCCCAAACCTTAGTCGTGTATACGGGTGGCAAACCCAAAACCCTAAACGGAGCAGTGGCAGTACTGTGCCAGACAAATGCCAGTGACACGAGGCAGATCGGGTTCAACTGTCGCAAGTGTTTCTTCAAGAAATAATATGAGGGCCTTAGATTTTTGCTTGTAGTCTAATATGCCCAAAATCTTATTGACTGCCTGCCTGACCTAAAGGGAGTGACGGGCTCCCGCTTCCCAAAAATCCTGTTGCACGGACTTGCACATGCTCGCCTGGATCTCGGAGCTGCTGTAAACCCTAGTCTGGCAGACTGGCGGCAAACCCGAAACCCTAAAAAGACTTCCCAAAGACCCCAAACCCTGCACAGGTAGACTGGTAGCAAAGCCGAAACCAAAAAGTGCAGGTGCTAGCCCGAAACCCCAAACCCTAAAATGGGTGAGCTGAGTCGCGTGGTTTTTTTCGGGCCAGTTGCACGAACGAGTAATGTAGAATTTGCACTGCTGGGCGGGAAACAGGCAGAATGAAGCACTTGGTCAGCATCGCACTGTTTCAAGTCGAAAGGCAGGCGCCAAAACGTTGAAGCAGCCTTCTGCACAGCGTCGTCGTCAGATGTATCCAGACTTTGAAAGCCGATTTCATCCGCATCGAAGATGTGCTTGAAGAGCAGCAAGAGAAGGTCACGGCACTTCGTCCGCAGGTGTGCGTCATCACTCTTCTGCAGGGGTTGGCCCGACAGAGCTGGAGTAACAACAGAACTTTTCGAAGCCCGCCATGGCACCAAGATGCGTGCCGGGCGGGATGTACTTTTAGCAGAAGAAGGGCCGTGTAGACGCGACCTCCAGGCCTGGCTATGAACAAACTGGCACGCTCCAAGGATATCTCCGCAGCAACATTATCAGAAGCAGCAGCCCCCAGTCTGCATGAGAGTCGCCAGAAAGCAGCCAGGTGTGAGGCTCCTTCAGCATCATCCGCATGGCTCTCTGTCCACTCCTCGAGAAGGCTCTCCTCGGAGTTCCAGAAAAACTGAACATCCTGCCACTGACTGAGGCCCAATGATGATATCCATTGCCCCACAGCAGGAGGCAGCTCAGTTAAAGCCGCATGGAAACAACGAGGCATACATGAGCCCTCAAAGAGGAATCAACAGAAGTCTGAGGAACAGAGAGCTGCTGATGCTGCGGAGGAGGTGACGCACATGCTTCAAGGCACATGCAGGCCCTACCCAACCAACCTTCGACATGTTACCTCAAGTCTTCCCGCCGCGGGAAGTCGTTTATTTTCAGATGATTTGGAATTTGGAATGTCCAAACTACTTTGCTTGGACATGAGTTCTTCCACTGCAGGAAGCGCAGCAGGCACAGACTCCGGGGGATCCCACACATGCTCCAGCACATGGTCTCGAAACAAAGTCCCATAGGGAAACCATGCTCAAGAACCGCTGGCGAGTTCGCGGCCCCAAACTCGAGAAGCCGGAGCAGAAAACCGAGGGCTGGGGTGAACGACAGCAGGAGGGACCAAGGCATACGTCCTTCACGATATTCGCGAATAATGGCATGCTGCACCACGGCCTCGGCCGTCCCGGGCTCTGAACACCACAACAGTCACAACAGTGCCTCTAAGTCTCTAAGTGCTCCTCAACTTCGACAAGTGGGAAACCGAGCAAAGGAGTCAGAGGTAAAACGCAGAGGTCAGCGACACCACGACATACATCGAGAATGCCAATCACTCCATTGAACCGGGCCTGTGGACGCTCCGCAAATGTACGTTGGCAGTCCCTCCAACCACTCGCAAGCACAGGAAACCACATGTACAGAAACGGGCCGCGCTCCGACTACTCAAACCCCAAACCATAATCGCATAGACTAGTGGCAAACCGTCAACCCTGCAAGGAATGACTGTTTAAGCCTGACTTACGAAAAGTGATTGGCTTGGGAGTGCCTACTTCCCAGAAACGCTCTTTCAGCCCGTCCCAAAAAAGCTAACCCCTAAACGGGCAGACTGGTGGCAAACCCGAAACCTTAAACAGAGTGCCTACTTCCCAATGATCCAAAACCCAGAACCGTGGACTGGCAGCAAAGCCGAACCCAAAAGAGGAGCGGCTGCTCGCCCGAAACCCCACACACTAAAAGGATCTAAAAGGTGTGGGCGGCAAACCCAACAAATGAATGCTAGGCCGAAACACCGAAAACCGAAAACCTAAAAGAGTCTTGCAAAAATCCGAAACACTAAACGGAGTGACTACTTCCCAATGATCCAAAACCCAGAACCGTGGACTGGCAGCAAAGCCGAACCCAAAACAGGAGCGGCTGCTCGCCCGAAACCCCACACACTAAAAGGATCTAAAAGGTGTGGGCGGCAAACCCAACAAATGAATGCTAGGCCGAAACACCGAAAACCGAAAACCTAAAAGAGTCTTGCAAAAATCCGAAACACTAAACGGAGTGACTACTTCCCAATGATCCAAAACCCAGAACCGTGGACTGGCAGCAAAGCCGAACCCAAAACAGGAGCGGCTGCTCGCCCGAAACCCCACACACTAAAAGGATCTAAAAGGTGTGGGCGGCAAACCCAACAAATGAATGCTAGGCCGAAACACCGAAAACCGAAAACCTAAAAGAGTCTTGCAAAAATCCGAAACACTAAACGGAGTGACTGCTTCCCAATGATCCAAAACCCAGAACCGTAAACTGGCAGCAGAGCGGCTGTTTGCCCGAAACCCCACACCCTAAAACGATTTAAGAAAATGGGCGACAAACCCGAAGACCTAAAAGAGTGGCTGCTTAAAGCCCAAACCTTAATCGCGTAGACTGGTGGCAAGCCGTAAACCCTAAAAGGAGAGATTGCCTGCCTGACCTGAAAGGAGTGACTGACTTTCAAAAACCCAGAGCACTAAACGGAGTGACTACTTCCCAAAAGCGCCGGAACCCTAAACGGGCAGACTGGTGCCCGAAACCCTAAAACGAGTGTCTACTTCCCGAGGATCCAAAACCCAGAACCGTGGACTGGCAGCAAAGTTGCGGGCGGCAAACCAAAAAAATGAATGCTAGGCCCTTGCACAAACCCGAGACACAAAGTGCTTCCCAATGATCCAAAGGGTTGGCCTCTCACTTGTGACTTTTGTTTTGTCTCACCTGTGACCTCTGAGGGCTTCCCCGAGGGGCGGGTCACTTGTGACTTCGATTTTGTCTCAATTGTGACTTCTCTGACACACGAATTTGCAGCACGTCCCAGCAAAAGTGCTGAAACTCACTTGCGACTTCTCGGCTTTGTGACTTCCCTCACAGAAGACTTTGCAACCTCTCTCGGCGAAAATCACTTGTGATGCCGGTTCTTCAAATATACATGTACATATATATATATATGTATATATGTATATATATATATATGTATATATGTATATATGTATATATATATGTATATATGTATGTATATATGTATATATGTATATATGTATATATGTATATATGTATATGTATATATGTATATATGTATATATGTATATATGTATATATGTATATATGTATATATGTATATATGTATATATGTATATATGTATATATGTATATAAGTATATAAGTATATATATATATATATATATATGTATATATATATATATATATATATATATATATATGCTCGCCCCCCCCCCTCCCGACTATATACCTTTCGTGGTTCTTGGGGCATGAGGCACAGGAAACACTGTAATGCTCAAAACTTACAAAATTTCCAACCTCAGAATTCACGAAAAAATCCAAAATTCTGGCATCTACGCTTAGGCAAAGCCAGAGGCAGATTCCTGAAAAATTTTGGAACTTTGGGCATTACAGTGTTTCGTGAGTTTCAGGGCTGTGAAGAGTTGGTGCTTTTTGAGCGATACAGTGATTTGTATCAGTATTTACGGTGTTTTCGGCATATATGAGTAGTGGACTAAGTGCGGAAGAGGCGGGTGTCGATCTTGGGGGAGATATAAAGATGTACAGATATATGGTCCCCTCCCCAACGGTATGGTCTGCTAGGGTGGGGGGGGGGGGAAAGGGGTCGGGGCCGTTGAAGCTGCCACTGGATGGTGGGATGGTGCTGGCGGCCAGGGCTAACACGCAAGCCCTTCGCAAGCAAGCCGTAAACCCTATAGCGCATCACGTGCCCATAGTTGTTTTGAGTAACCTTAACTTGTACTTCAAACCCTATACCCAGCCCTAAACCCCACCTAACTGCAGGCTTGACTCTAAGCCTAAAGCCGAACATACACCGCAAATCCTCCCTAAGCCCTTGTCGACTCGAAACGTTATACCTTGAAACCGTAAACCCAACACTCAAAAGCTTAATCTAAACCCCAAACCCCGAAACCTCACAACCACCCCACAGGAGGAAGAGGGACCCCACACCCCACACCACAGGGGAGGGGGGGTGGTATGGTCTGCTAGGGGTGGGGGGGGGGGGGGGGGGGGTTGGCCTGCGCGGAAAGGGGTCGGGGCTGCTGGAGCTGCCACTGGATGGTGGGGTGGTGCTGGCGGCCAGGGCTCGCACGCAAGCCCTTCGCAAGCAAGCCGTAAACCCTATCACGCAGCACGTGCCCCTGTTTTGAGTAACCTTAACTTGTACTTCAAACCCTATACCCAGCCCTAAACCCCACCTAACTGCAGGCTCTAAGCCTAAAACAGAACATACGCCGCAAATCCTCTCTAAGCCCTTGTCGACTCGAAGCGCTGTACCTTGTAACCGTAAACCCAACACTCAAAAGCTTAATCTAAACCCCAAACCCCGAAACCTCACAACCACCCCACAGGAGGAAGAGGGACCCCACACCCCACACCACAGGGAGGGGGTGTCCCACCCTATATCCGGACCATTGACCTTTGGGGGGGGGAGGGGTGGGGGGGGGGGGCCGCGGAGCGCGTGACCATATATACGTATTAAACACGCCACCTCCTTTGGCGACTCCGGTTCAGATTATCTCTTAACAACGCCCCCTCATTTCGCGATTCCGGTTCATCATATATCTTAAGCACGCCCCCTCTTTTGATCATCTGTCTGAAACACGACCCCGCGTTTGGCGCTTCCCCATATTCTTCAACACGATCCCTCATTTGATGATGTCGGATCCTCATATACCTTTAACACGAACCCTCGTTTGGCGATTCCGGTGCAAGATACATCTTGAACACGCCCCCTTCATTTTGCGATGCGACGTCATCATCTATCTTGTACACGCCCGCGTTTTTGGCGATGCTAGTTCACCATCTATCTTAAACATGGCCCCTGATTTGGCGATTCTGGTTCAACATATATCTTAATCACGCCCCCCTGTTCGGCGATTCCGGCTCATCACGTTTCTTAAACACGGCCCCGCATTTGGCGATGCAACACGCCCCGTCGATTAGCAATTCCGGTTCAAGATATATCTGAGAAACACGCCCCTCATTTAGCCATGCCGGTTCCCCATATATCTGACACAAGCCCCTTGATTTGGCGATGCTACTTCATTATCTATCTTAAACACGCCCCCCCCATTTGGCCATGCTACGTCTTCACCTATCTTAAACACGGCCCCTCATTTTGTGACCGGCGATTCCGGTTCAACATAAATCTTAAGCACGCCCCCTCATTTGGCGATGCCTTCTCATCACATATCTTAAACACGCCCCCTCATTTGGCGATTCCGGTTTATCATATATCTTAAACCCGGCCCCTCATTTGGCGATTCCGGTTCATCATATATCTTGAACACGCCCCCTCATTTGGCGATGCTACCTCATCATCTATCTTAAACACGGCCCCTCATTTGGCGACCGGCGTCTCCGTTCAACATAAATCCTCAACATTTGGCGGTTGCGGTTCAAAACATCCTTTAAACATGCCCTCTCATTCGGCGATTCTGGTTCATCATATATCTTAAACACGCCCGCTCCTTCGGCATTTTGCGATGCTGCTTCATCATCTGTCTTGAACACGCTCCCTCGTTTGGCCATTCTGCTTCCCGATAGTCTTCAACGCGCCCCCTCGTTTGACGATGCGGTTCCTCATATACCTTAAACACGACCCCTCGTTTGGCGATTCCGGTGCAAGATACATCTTGAACACGCCCCCTTCATTTTGCGATGCGACGTCATCATCTATCTTGTACACGCCCGCGTTTTTGGCGATGCTAGTTCACCATCTATCTTAAACACGGCCCCTGATTTGGCGATTCTGGTTCAACATATATCTTAATCACGCCCCCTCATTGGGCGATTCCGGTTCGGCGATTCCGGTTGGGTGTTAGGATGTGAAGGGAGGGAGGTAGGGAGGGAGGGAGCGAGGGAGGCAAAGAGGGAGGGAGGGAGGGAGTCCAAAACCCATGGAAATGCAAGGTTTTTGAAGGGGCGAAAGTGAGAAGTCACAAGTGAGACAGAATAGAAGTCACAAGTGAAACAAAATAGAAGTCACAAGAGACCCCTCTACCATCCAAAACGCAGAGCCGTGGACTGGCAGCAAAGCCGAAACCCAAAAAAAACAGTGGCTTCTTGCCCGAAACCCCACACCCTACAGAGATGAAAAGAAATGGGCGGCAAACCCAAAAATGAATGCTAGGCCGAAACCCGAAAACCTAAAGGAGAGGCTACTTAAATCCCGAACCTTATTCGTGTAGACCGGTGGCTAACCGTAAACCCTAAAAGGAGTGACTGCTTGCCTGACCCAAACGAAACGAGTGACTCGAAAAACTTATACAAAACAATAGACGAAGTGACCACTTCCCTTCTTCACAAAACCCTAAGCCCTAAAGGGGTAGCCGGGTAAACTTGCTCCAAACCCGAAACCGCAAAAGGCGTGACTTTTTCAAGCTCTACACTCTACACAAAAAGGAGTGACCATTCCCCCCAAACCGAAAGCCTGAATCGGAAGACGGTCGGCAAACCCTAAGCCCCATAAGTGCGTGCCCAAAACTCCCAACCCTAAGGCAAAAACCCAAACCCGAAAAGGAGTGACTGACACGCACGCCCAAAATGCGGATGCCCAACAAAGGGCTCTAGCAGCTGCCTCGCAAGACTTGAAAGCCAAAATGAGCACGGGACCGTGGCGGGAACACGGCTTCCGCCGAACCCTAGAGCCGCTCGCGGACCAAGGCCCCAAATCCTCCAGCCTACTCTAGCCGTGAATCCAACCAGCGCAAACCCTCAACCCTAAACAAGAAGTGTCTGCCTGTATATCAGCTTGAGTGAGCCGTGCTTTGTTCGTGCATCTTGCTGTCTTCTGCCTTTGGTTCATGCTGCTCCATTCTTGTGGCTGGAACTTTGTTGAATTCAGTGTGTTTGTGATTTTGGTCCGCGTCTGTCCAACTGCTGACAACTCGATCTGAGACCAAGACGGAAAAGCGGAGAGTAGAGCCTGGCAACAGTGCCACTTCAAAGAACATGCACTATCCGTTATCTCCTCAACTGATGCCGTAAGCCCAAGCCCTGCCTCTGAATTGAACTGTCCCCGGCAGTGTGGCAAGAGCGCTGTCACGGGATGAGCGTGTCTCAAAAACGACGAAGGCCTCTGCACCTTGGTATGCAACAAGCTCTCCTTGATGAACCGGATGGGGTGATGTACGTGTTCACTTCGCTGTCCTAGTGTAGCTATGGCACTTGACGGCACCTTCTGCAACAACCTGGCAGTAGTCACGAGACACAGCAGCTCAGAATGCAAAACGGAAAGACGGACAGGCTTGACGATGCGAAGAACGAGTCTTGACACATCTTGCTGACCCAAGCCGCTGCTGTGCGAAGTCCGTCTGCACCTCCTGTGTGTCGCGGGTCTGCAAGCTTGTCGGAGCCTGAGTCATAGCCTGGTCTGCCTGGCCTCCTCCAAAAATCGCAGGAAGATCTTTTCGGCCCAGAGGAAGGCCCTTAGAAGTCTACTTAGGCTTGGTGCTGAAGACGAAAAGGGACATCGCATCTCGATGCAAGAAAGCTCAATCCAGCAAAGTGTCCTTCGTAGGCTGCCTGGGTTATCAGAAGGCACGCCCCATCCTCCTCACCCTTCTCCTTCTCATCGTTCTCACCGCCCCCAACATCCCGCACCATCCTCACGGCCGTCACGGCAATCCTCCACGTCATCCTGCCCTTCCTCCTGGACAATACCATCACATTGGTTCTCCCTTTTGAACCTCCACCATCATCATCACCCCGCCAACAAACAGACTCATCGGTGTGAAGAAGGCCATTTAGTGGTGCTGCCTTGGATAAGAACAATACAAACAGATTGCACAGAAACAAAGCAGACGACAAGAGACTGTGAACAGGGAGAGAGGAATACGACCAGACGACCAAAAGGGATGGTCGTGTCCTGCTTCGAAAAAGACAACTACAACCCCCATCAGCATCTGGCACTCGCTCTCGACAGCGTCAGGCGAGGTTTAGGACAAACTACAGCCAAACCTCTCGTCACGAGTGGCGTGGACGAGAAAGTTGTCCCAACTTGAAACGGTTCGGGCGTGGTCCGGGATGCAGATCGACAGATCAAATTCCAGAGAAGAACAAGAGTGCGGACGGGCCCAGAGATCCCCATGCCATCTCACTATCTCAAGTGATGGTCGCAAGCACATGCATGCACAACTGACAGCGCCTCGCAAGTTTCAGTCTACCCCGACTCCATGATGCTCAAAATTCCTCTTGCAGGCACTGTACCTTCACTCTCCATCTCCTGGCTCGGGCTCGCTGTCACTGCTTGGCTCGGAAGGTTCTTGTCCAGCAAAGCTTTCACCTGCTCCTGAACTCCAACATCGGGAGTAAAGCCTAACACGCTTGAGGCAGGCACTCCGCCTGTTGGCTGCTGAAGTTCCAGCACACCTTGATTCAAAGCCAGGCGCTGCAGGAACAATGGCCAGAAAGAAGCTAGACTCATGCTACAGCGATGGCACGACAACGGCGCACCGGCCCATCTGAACAGCAGCAAACTTATGAGCTTTTCCGCCTGGTGCAACTACATGCAACTACGGAAACTTATCCTCATCCTAAACGGGACGCAGAGACGATGACATATCACAGAGGGATCAAGCGCAGGCCCCGCTCCCCTGGAATCTTTGTACAAGGCCATCGCCTCAGCTCAGAAAGTTCACCAGCTCAGAGATGGACAACGCCGCCATGTCTTGTCCAGACTTGCCGTCAAAGCCCGATTCACAACCCACTGAGCCCACAGTTCCGTCAACCGCATCAAGATGGTCACTTCCGTCCTCACGCGAGGCAAGGATACGGTCGTTCTCCTTCTTGAGGCCCGAGTTGTCCTCCCAGTAGCGCTTCTCTGCAAAGGTTTGGAGCTCCTGCAAGCTATGAAGGCCTCCGGACTGCAAGGCTCGCTGCAGCTCCTCGCTCCAGATCCCCACGAAACTCCCCAAGGCCGGCTCAAAGCATCCGGCGGTAAATATGCAGAAGACAGGCCAGAAGCGGGTTCCGAAATAGCGGCGGTAGCTCGGACGGCGCATGAACTCCACAGCACCCCCCGACAAGCAGAACTGGTGGAAGACCACAAGCCGTCTTTGCGGCGACTGCTCTAGTACAGCATGATAAGCTTGGAACAACATCTGAGAATACAAGCGCCAGCGGTGTTTCGGAGCTCCCCAGTCCCAGTCTGGATGAGGATCAACGTCCCGGAAGCCCTCATGAGAAACCACGTCGTACAGCGAGGCCTCGCTATCTGGAACCGGGTACGGTAGGTGCATGTACCATTCGTGATGCTTTGTGTCCGGTCCCGCGGGGTGAGCATGACCGTGACTCATCAAAATGAGCAGCAGAGACTTCACTCCGCGCTTAGGCACAACAGGCATTGAGGCATCCCCAATGTCGCCCCTCAAAACGCGCAAGACGGTTGCCGGGTTGACATCTGGGCCATCGTAGTCAGCACCACCATTGGACAAGAGCTCCCGGCAAGACTCTGTGGTTTCAATAAGCTGCTGCTGCAGCATGGGCAAAAGCGATGACCGTCCCGCAAGTTTTTCTGCTGATTCTGCGTTGCGGCTGGCTTCTGCCAGCCACTGCAGCGTCTCTTGCAGCTGAGCAATTACCACTACGCGATCTTTGCCAAAAAAAGGCAGCAGTCTGGAATAGACCTGCCCTACCCACTGAAGCGAGCAGTGTCCGGCAAGGTACGGACCAGGCCTTGTGCCCTCATAGTCAGGTCGCATCCTACCTCCGTGCTCGCCGCCTACCAACATCAGCCAGGCATCGCCATCGGATGCTGCATGCAGTTGCGCAAGCTCCTCCAGCTCATCCAGGGACAAAGGGGCAGCACTCGGAGAACTTGGGGAGATTGAAACCGGCAACGCTGGCTGCAACGAGCTTTGGGTTGGGCTAGAGCTCTGCAGAGCGCGCACTTCCAAGGTGTGTGTTCTGCAACACCGGGGCCAAGAGAGAGCCATGGCCACATTGCCTGAAACTAGGCCGGCTAAGTGAGTTTTGCGGCTGTCTCACGACACTGCACGGGAAGGCGGAATCGCTTGCCGCTCACCCCCCGCCCTACACACACAACCTGTGCTTGGATCAACTCCGTCTGCCATAGAGATCACTGCTCCCAGCCTAATCTCTGGTCTGAGGACCATGGACAGAACTCTCGTTTTGCGAGCCATGTGCTAGCTGCGAGAGGTGAAAACATCTGTTGCTGCCAAACACTCTCGAGCTGAACAAGCCTTGGCTGGAGCATCCAAATTTTTCCTCGTTTAAAGACAAGGCTCTGAAACTCCCACCACTGGCTGTCCTCGGCCGTGAAACTCCGCTTTCTTCCCACACCAACCCGTGGATGCCGGCTAGCGGCCGGCCAGAGAAGTGACCAAGTCAGATAGTTCAGCTTCTACTTGGGCCTGAAGGCCAGCCAGGCTGACCGAGAAGACGTCGCAAACGCCACCCCTGAATTCGCCTTGCCTCTGATGCACGGATCTCCGGCAACCCTTTCACCAGCGCTGCGAAAGCCTGGTAGGAGGCAGAGGACATGTGTAAGACAGAGGACCCACTCAGCGCGGCAACCTTCATTGTGTCCTTCACCTCAGCAAGAGTGTCCGATGATGCGACAAGTCTTCGATCATCTGATATGTGCCGAAGAAAGATAAGGCCAGACACATCGCTCTGTTGGAACAAGCACCGCTGACGAACTCCATGCAACAAGCAAGCCAAGAAGGTCACCTCGTAAGATGCACATTTCGCTTCATGCTCATGTAACAGGACGTACACCCGACTGCAACTCCGAGCGGCGATGTAAACACCAAGCAAGAAGCTCAGCTTGGCCCACATGAGCCTGCTCAGCCAGGTTGCTGGTTGGAAGCTTTTGCTTGAAGCGAGAAACACTACAACGGTATATGATGCAGCACATGCTCGCCGGCTCCAGCTACAGCTCCGGGACCTCTGCTGTGTCACAAAGCCCCAAGCAACCAAGACACAGTTCCTGCACCCGCACCCGTGGCACTCAGCGAGTCCAGGACAAAGAAAGAATATGCAGCCGCTCTCCTGTACGGGGTGCCGTACTCCTTCCGTCCCAATATCAACAAGTCTTGGTCTACCTGGGACAAAGCGCTAGCATTTCGCGTCCAAACGAAGCAGGGCGCAGGCGACTTCAAACCATCTGAGCTGCGACATATGCCATGATTAGCCATCCAAACCCAATGGCTGCAGACCAGACGATCACCTCAGTCTGCACTTGACCGAGTCTGAAAAGCAACCAGCTGCGTTTGGACGCACTTGCGCTTGCAGTTCGGAGCACCAAGCAAGAGAATGGGGCATCAAGCCGGCCTGAACTTCCCGACCAAGCAGCTGCTGCTAGGAAGTTGAAGTAGAGCAGCAGGCCAGGACCCCCAACAGGTGTCACACAAAGGTTCGTGGTCAAGGGCCACAAGTCTCGTTGAGGGCCAGAGCGGTACTTCTGCATTGATCTGCTTGCGAGGCCACATGCCAAGCCCGAAGGGTTCACGGTGCCACGCAGGTTAAGATCCACCACGTAAGCGACCAAAGCACAGGCCAGGGCACCAAGGAGACACAAGCCAGTCCAGGCCGCCCACATGTAGCGAGCTCTGCACTGCCCGTCAGGGGTGAGGTCGTACCAAGCTCCGCAGGTGATGCATCTGTCTGTGCCGTCCAAGCTGGGCTGAAAGCAACCTTGTGAGCCCCAGAGCAACTCCCAAGAATCGTAATTTGGCACGAACTGAGCTCAGGGCCGTCCACTTGGGCACCGCGGCAAATGCCCCGGCTGGCATCTTCCACCGGTGCGTCCGGATTGAAAGCAGCACAGCTTGAAGGACGCACGCATGCAGCACTGCAGAAGCCCAGATCTGGTGCTAAAGAACTGTAAGGACACTCGGAGGGACACCGGGCATTCATATCGAAAGATTGGTTCAGCTCCATCACCCGGAGGCAAGGCAACGTTGACACTCGACCATGATCGTCAAGGGCCAGCGTTGCTGGTTGGATCGCCTCAACCTGGGAGCCCGCAGCACCTCAAAGGCTTGCTGTGGCTTCTACGTGCTGGTGCGAATTGAGCGGAGCTGGCCTGCGAGGCTTGCGGCATCGAGCCCGGTGTGCTGTACATCACTGAAGTTTCTCACGGCCACCTCAACTACAGCACTGGGCGCATTGCCATGATATACCTTCCCTTGGCTGACAGAAACAAGCCCCTGTGAGGCTGGAGCTTGCACCAGCAGCGGGCCTCAACAGAAACACATGAACGTGCTGGGGGCGTGTAGGTGTTGGTACAGCTGCGGGACCCGTTTGTCGAAGGCAGGACGCCACTGCCGACGCCGCCTCAGGTCCAGAACACATGCCTACCCCGCCGTACAAACCGTCAAAAAAGTGCCAGCCACCGTCAGTGGCGATAGCAGGCAGATCTTCATCAAATCCGATCTCACGGCATGCCTCAAACCAAATCAATTTCACCCAAGGACTTCGTGCGGCTGTCATCCCTCACACTTATCGCACCTGCAACGCTCAATGTCTCGAGTAGGTTCAGTGGTTGCTTCCACGGGACATTTTGCCTTGCATGCCGAAGCTGGCACGAACTTGATCGCGAAACGTACTCTACTCTCATGTTGGACATGTTGCCTTCTAAACCAGCCGCGGTGCAAGAATGTGCCGCAGACTGCAGGGCTGGATTTGAATTTGGATCTGTACAACTCTGAGCCCTTGAAGGTCCATGCATGCATATGCTCCGGCTTTCAGAGCACTGCCTGGTGGCACCCTCACTACATCGACAAAGTGCACCGGCTCTTTTGGTCTTCTCCGCTCGAATCCCCGGCTGCTCCCTCAGCGTGAGACTTGAGAAGATAGTCATAGTCCTTGGCAGCTCACGAACCAACACAGACATGCCAGCAAAGCAGCCAACGGGGGGCCGTCCGCATCTCCTCACCCGATCATGTGTCCACAATCAAAGGGTGCAACAAAGCGACAATCCACACCTCAACTACGTGTCCATGCGGCGGCGCCCAAGAGTCCACGCAGAACAGAATGCTAGGCCCCATACGTCTCTCTTAATCAGCGTCGCGATGACACAGCGCTGTCCACGTTCTTGATCAATAACCCATCCAGACTCGTCTGCCTCGCTCCGTTTCGCACACATGGCGTCAGTTGCTGGCCTCCTCTTTGACTTCTCGCGTCTGGCTGCGTCAACTCGACCAGAAACATTACGTGACGAAACTAGCGTCAGTCCGGAAAAGTAACGAAGAGTACCAACCTTGATGCCCTTCCACAGAGGACCGTCCAGCACGGGCATCTCACCCCTGACACCGATTGTCAACGATGTCGGCCTGGCGAAGGCTTTTGCACGCGCTTTCTCCAGGCGTGGCCCTGAGATCACATCGCTGCATTGGGGAACAGTTGGTTTGGTTTGCTGGTCCATGGCATGTGCGAGATCGCAATGCGTATCTAGAGAGCGATACGCCTTCTGATTGTTTGCTCCAGTGTCTTGCCCTACCCACACATCTCGCCCCATGCAGATAGCACTCTCGCCGCATGACTGTACACAAGCCTAATATTCACCACAACGTCGTCGACTGCGGCATCAGCAGGAATCGGCACAAAGACCTCGCGCACATCCGAGTGCAAATTTCGCGACTCTCAAGACGTCAGCGGCTGTCAGCTTGTGCCGAGTGTCCATGATTTCCTCCTCGCTCTCATCTCCAGCACCACCGCACCACCACCAACGAGCACAGCTGCCTGGTCCCAGAGCCCTGCGGATGGAGCGAAGAGCCCGTCTCTGCCAAGGCCTCGGAGAATCGGTGTGACCGCACAACGCCTCACTGACTTCGTAGCGACAGTGAGGCATCCGCTGCCCTGCAAACGCGCTTCGGGCATACCGGCCACGAAGAGGGTTCGCTGTGAAAACCTGCCACCGCGACCCACAGAGACGACTCAAGACTGGGAACACCTATTATGTCATGTTGCCTCGCTGAGCGCCACCACGAGGGGCAGCACCAGCACCAGCCCGAAGAAACCTTACGTGAGCGGCCCCAAGCATGGCGAATTAATGCCATCGGCGCTGTCTCTGAAGAGCAAAGTCTACACTTATGGCTGGGAGCTGCTCGCGTGTACTTGCCGCACAGCCCCGCATGCGCGCACCGGCATGAGCAGCGGCGCTCGGGAAAGGAAATCAAGCTGTGTTTAGTCGGTTAAGAGATCCCATGCTCTGGGCCACGGGTTCGGCAGCATCCGAGGGGGACAAGAAAACCGACTCTGGAGAAGCAACATAAGCAAGCCTTCCCGCTCCCAGAAGCCCGCTGCTTTCTTGCCGCTCCAGGAAGAATTGGACCCGCGTCTTGTGCAGCCAGCACCCACAGCAAAGCAGGGCGACCGGGCGACGTTCGCAATCAAGAACGGGCCTGTTCCCGCTGCCTCTTGCTGGCGACCAAGTACTGAAGTAGCACCGACTCTCCTTGTCCAGACTGTCCATGTTCTGGGCTTCACTGCTTCGTGAGCTTGCGGCTAGCGGAGATGCCGAGGGCATCTCCAGGGCCAGGGCCTGTGGGTCTTGTCCAAGTGCCGCAGTCAGGAATACAGTTGCCTGCTCCGGGAAACCTCCGCTGTCTCGCAGGCAGTGATGGCGACCTGGATCTTGAAACTTGAAACTGCGGTCATCTGAGACTCTGCCATGTTAGTTTTTTCCCTCTCGCCATGTTACATACCTGGATGTAGTGACTTCTTACACCTATCAGTATCTACTGACAGAACACTTCAGACTCCCTTCCAAGCCGCTTGACAACATATGACGTCTGCTTGCCTGGGATGGGTGGCAGTGGCCGACATCTGGCATGCACAAGAAGAAGCATAAAGGGCACTGCGCATGAGAAGAATCACTGCTTGTATCCAGGATACAGGCCGCGACAGGGCATCTCCTTACGTAGACTGTGCGGCAGCAAGAACAGGAGCGAGCTGCAAGATGACAAAAAAAAAACTACGTCTCCCGTGCCAAGCCACCCGCAGGATCAAGGTCGGCAGCTGCCATTTGCCTGCCTTTTCCACGGCGCTCATGGCTGCACTGTGGCCTCTGAGAGGAGCGCTGCAGGAGCGACTGCCGTCACGGAAGCGAAGACTTGGGGCCGCGCTTAGAAGGTCCGGCTCTAAGGCATGATGCCGAAGACCACAAAAGCTTAGAAGAGCCGACCGCCACTGCCCCGCTCCTTCCTCGACATGGCGCGAAGTAACAAAACGAACCGATGCGCCGACGGTGACGGTTTACAGAACTTGCTGCCCGAGTGACACAGGCACTGGTCGCTGCATTGGAGCAGATCACATTACCGCGCACACGGCTGTGGGCGCTGTCGGCCAGGAGGCGGAGTGCCGTCTGCCAAGTTGATGCCTTCGAAACTTTTCGGTGACAGCAGTTCCGAACGCTTCACTGCCCAAGCCTTCTCGCAAGCACTGATCGCACCGCTGAAGCTGAAAACGTCTGCGGACAGCCAGGCCTCCGAGAGAGAGAGAGAGAGAAAGAGAGAGAGAGAGAGAGCTTTGGCAAATAGCACCCTGTCACTCGTAAAGTCCCACAGCATTTCAGGGAGTGGCAGCTAGAAGGCGCTCGAGTGCATGATCGCACCTTGCAATATGCATTAGCCATCAGCCGAAAGCCGCAAATTCCAGCCCTCCAGTGTGCCGCTCCAACCTCTTCGTGTACGCCAGATCATTGCGGCATCATGTATCAATCTATCGTCACACGAACGGCACACGACGCGAAATGGCACACATCATCACATGCAGCTGGGACATTTTGTCCGACGCACGGACTTTGAGAGCCTGTGAACTCGAGAGCAACAGCAAGGAGTGTTCCCAAAAGCTGCTCCTCAGCTGCTCGCACAGCACCGAGCCCACTCCCCTTACTGTCGCCGACAACCAGCTGCTGCAAGGGTGCTTCTCGCAAGCACTGAGAGCAGCATTGCACGACACAGCTGTCAGCTCCATGTTGTCTCGCAGGCTCAAAGCAAGCAGCGCCAGAGCCCACTGCCGGGTCGTCTCACACGTAGCAACCAACGAATTGAAACCTAAACTGTCAACTCATGTTTCGCTGTTGCAGACAAAGTTGGAGTCCTTTCAACCATCGCCTGCTAAAGGCCGCCGAGATGCTGATGCCGGTTTTCCGAAGGCTGCGCAAAGACAGTTCACCGAAGATCCATAGGGCGTGCCGCCACTTCTCCAGATCTTGCAAGGCTGCGTTGAAGCCGACCACATCAACCCCTGGCACAAGGAGCATCCAGCAGCCGCGCTGCCACTGGCTGGCTCTCTGGCATGCCGCAATAGCAGCATTCCAATTGAAACTGTTGAACTTCAGCTCTCGGACCACTTGCAAGGCCAAGTCCCAACGGTGCGCAGCATACGTGCTCACCCCAGAGTTGACACACACGTCGTTCAGCCGGACGGCTCTGCGGCATAGACTTTGCAGCAAATCCACGACCGCCTGCCATGGCAAGTCGCCCGAGATAAGGGCACTCAATGCCATGGATGTACCCAAGTGCTCTTGATCGGAAGCACCAGCGGTGTCAAGCCCATGAAGCCTCGCGGAAAGCGAGCCAGCAAAAAGCCCCAAGGCCAATCGCCACGCACAGGCGCTGCAAGCATCGATGGCCGAGCGACAACCAATCTCCCCCAGTTTGAAACCTTCTTCAGCTCCACGCTGACGCAAGGAAAGGGTTTGGGACCATCGCCCAACCTGCAAGCATGGCAGCCAACCGTTCAGATTAAGACCCGGGTCCTGCTAAACGTTTATATCCCTGCCTACCTTCTGGCATGCACTCATGGAAGCTCGGCAGGTAATATCATCTGGCTTGGCAGAGTGGCTGCCAAGCCATGATGTAAATTCCAAGGCCACTTGCCACTGCAAGCCTCTGTCACAAGATGTAACCCCTGCATTCAGGGTGATGAGGTTGGGCTCCGAAGATCTCCTCTCCATGTGATCCAAGCAGGCAAATGCTGCAGCCCACTCTGCGGCCTTGCCACAGGCACTGACGAGCGTGCTGTAGGTGACTGCGTTGGGTCTCGTCATAGAAGCAAACATCTCATCGAGGATTTCCAATGCAACGATCCAGCAGCTAGCCTGCTCACATGCACGCATGGCTGTGCTGAATCCGACGACGTCAACGTCAACACTTTCTTTGATCCACAAGGCCAGGGCCGCCAGCGCCGCCTGCCACATCGAGTTCTTGGCATACACACCCAGCATTGCATTAAAGCTGACACTGTCAGCATCGCCCTGAGCCGATGCAAGGGCTACGGCCAGCTCGAGGAAAGCTAATGCCAACGGCCATTGCCCAGACAACGCTGAGATCGCAGCACTGCAGTGGATCACATTGACTTCCGTCTGCAAAGCCCGCATTTCCTCAAAGACCGCCTGAACCTTTCTCCAGCGCCCTAAGCGCAACTTCTGAATGACTTGTGTTGCATTTCTGCTTCTCGAGAAATGCGTCATTGCATCGACGGGGTCGGTGGATTCAGAGCTTGGACGCCCCACATACCCAGTGAGTCTTCGGCATGGGACCCCAAGACATCCCGACCAACTGCCTTCAACAGGGGCACAAGGCTCCATGGTCTCTGAACAAGTAGGTAATTGGGCTGTGACCGCCTGATCTGCCGATCACAGACACAGGCGCACAGTTCCGAGCGAATGCAAGCAAGTCACTGTATTGAAGCTGGGTGATTCACGGCACCATAGCGCCTGCCGAAGCCATCCAAGTGTAAATGGGGCAGCATCCTCAAAGCCTCAAGTGGCCAGGCCATACCCCGCTTTGCTCATGGCGACACTCAGAAAGAACGTGCCGGCTGCTCCCTAAAACATGCTTCGCCATGAGCTGCTGCAAGGCCGAGCAAAATTCAGACCTAGAAACAAGGAGTTCGTGAATGTCAAGTGGACTACTTTGTGCGAAGCTTGGATGACGGCCGTAGCTGCATGACATGATGCAGTCTGGACATGCGACATCCCGACATGGACAGTTTCGCGGCATCAATTGCTCACTTTACTTTTTGCCAATTCTTCCCCTGCCCCGGTCCATTTGTCGAATTTTGGCTTTCGTCTTGAAGTCTTCGGCCAGTTCTTCCATGGAGTAGCGCATTCGCATCTTAACGCGCAGCTGTGCCACAACGATGTCCGGATCGGAAACATCTTGCAGGGCAACGACACCGCCTGCAACAGGATTTCGAGTTGCTTGCATGCCATACTGGAGAAGCCCAGACATTGGTAATTCACCGCGCCCAAGCACGAGTTGCTGGCTTGTGCCTGGCAAGGACCCATGGATCTCAACCCCAAGCTTTGTCGTGGAAAGGTGCTCCAGAACATCATCCGTGACGTTGAAGGGACCGAAAGTCACCAAAGAATCGTAAACAGGCTGCAAGCCTGCAGCTACCGCTGAGAAGCCAATGTCGAAGCCCAGGAACTCGACACTGACAAGGGTTCGGAGCTCCTCCGCGGTCGGCATCCCCGATGGTGGTGGCGGCGCTCCAGTGGCGGCAGTCTGCAGGGTTTCCTGTAATCGCTGAGCCGCTGAGACGTCCATGGCACCGATGCCCACAAAGACATCCAGAGCATTGTCACAGTCCTCCAAGTCTGATACATCCGAGAAGCCCGACACACTCAGAGCATCATCCGGCCTTTGGCCGGGAAGGGCAATGTCCTCAAAGCCGGCGATACGGCGCTGCAGATCCCGAATGCTTTGCAGGTGCGCTGCTGCAATCCTTGCCAACTTCTCCTGATCCCGAAGCAAGGTCTTCGACTTGCTCCGGGCCTCCTCGAGCTCTTGTGCCTGCAGGTTTTTCAAATTCTGCGAGATAGCAGCCTCCCGCTCGAGCTCCTCGCGCAGCAAAAAGATATGCCTCCGGAGATCCTCCCGCTCTCGGCCCAATCTCTCCACCACAGACTCCATGGACTCCGCTGCAATCAGATCGGTCTTTGAGGGCACCGCGTCAGCAAAACGCTCGAGCCTCGCAAAAGCGGCACCTCCCCCGACCATTTGCGACAGTGCCGCCTCCAAAGCCTCCTGATTGCCGGGCGGCAGCCGCTCACGCATCAGCTGCATCTCGCGTTCCACTTTCTGCATCTCTGCAGTCCGTGACTCGATCTCGACCTGCAGTTGCTCATTTCGCTGCTTCAAATCCAAACACTTCGACTGAAGCCGCTGCTTTGCTTGGATGCCAGCGACACGGCCCTGCTCAAGAACCACATTCTCATCTACAAGTGTCTGATGCTCCGCCACTCTCACTCGGAGCATATCTTCAAGTGCAGAGATGCGCATGTTGGCCTCCCGTCTGTCGTCGACCTTGGAGAGGAAAGAGTTGGCCTCCAGGCGCCGCAGCTGCGCCTCCAGCTGCCGGGACCTCTCCTCTGCACGGATGACCTCCTCTTGCAGCTTCCCCGCGTCGGAAGTCTCGAAGTTAGCTTTGGCCTGCTGGATCTGAAGCTTGAGTGCCGCTCTCTGCGATTCGTAGTCTTGAATCTGGGCTCGATATCCAAGCGTCTCCTGCTCTTGCCTGTCTGTTTCAGCCTGCAGTTGTTGCTGCAAACTAGCGACCAGCTCCTCCTTCTTCTGGAGCTGCTCATTCCGCACTCTTTCTTCCAAGTCCGATCTGCCGCCGCGGCTTCGTGCAGCTAGGACCTCATTGATCCGCTGCTGGAGGACCTCTCCCTCTGCACGCAAGGTGTCAGGGCTTACGGCTGAAATGCCCCGGTGCAGGGCCGGTGCTCCCGGCGGAGGGCTTGCTGGAGCTGATGCTCCCAGGGTTGAAGCGCGAGGAGGTCCTGGCGGTCCTGGTGGTCCCGGTGGTCCGGGCGGAGCTGGTCCAGGGCGAACAGGGCACGGGAGCGGTGCGGGCGGAATGCCGCTGCCAGGCCCCGGTGGCGGAGGCTGCATGGCTTGAGCCCTTCCTGCCGGTCGGCTAGATCGTGTGTCCGGCTATTGTGCATGACATCTTCCATGCTCAGCCCAGCTTTTTCGCCACACGCTACTGAAAGCTCAGAAGTTTTTGCAAAAACTAAGTCTAAGTCTATGTCCTACGCAGGAAAAGGCTCTCGATCAGTTCTTAAAGCCACCTCGCGCCGTCTTCAACGGGCCGGCGGCAGCTGCCTCCAGGCATGCTGCTGCTGATTGTTGGGCATTTTGTGATCGCAGCAAAACACGACAGCAGTGGGACAGCTTTGCATGAACACTTGCCTTGCAATCTCCTCAATTCTCAGGCTTAGCCTCTCCACCAACCGGTGCACTTGGGCTAGATCGAAGCTGCGCGCCATTCCCTTGATTCGCATTGTGCCAGCTTCAAACTCCTGCAAGGAAATCTCACCTTCGCCTGGCCAAGACGACTCATGTTTGGACGGAATGGCTCAGGGCTTGAGCCGGCCTGTGTCTAGCATCTGGAAGAGGCCCCACAAATCCGTGGTCTCGATTTCCAACTGGCTCAACCACAGCCTGAGCGATAGGGAAAAGTCAACATCCTCTTCTTTTCCCACTCAGCAAACACATCTGGAAAAAAAGAAAACATCTGAGGCAAGGGCTGGAGCTTCGGAGCCTTGAGAAGCCTCTTGAACTCTTTCATGTCTATCTTCCCGTCGCCAGAGATGTCGGCCTGCCTAAACAATGCCGAGACTTTGCGTTGGAAGGCCAGCTCTGCCTTCCTCTTTTCCCTGGCCATGACCTCCTCGTCTGCTGCAGCAACCTCAGATGACCAAAAATAGGACGTGTAAGCAACCTTCTATCCGCACTTGCTTGGCGGCTGATCCGCTGGCCTTCATGGTGCTTTGGACGAAGACTGCATTCACGACGTTGAGCCTCATACTCAGGAAAGCCACAATCAAACTCATGAGTCTATCTGAATGGACCTGACTGCTCAGCCAAGGAACACAGCAAAGCCAACAAAGCAACGGTAGATGATGAACACCAAGGCATACCACTCGCTCACGTAATCGATCAAGATTCGACACGGTGGTGCCCAGTTTGCAAAAAGTACCTATCGTGCGCAGTAGTAGTCAACGGCTTGCACCCTACACCTATCGTGCGCGCGATTATTGTCGTCCCGCCCTGACGCCAGACTGCCAATGATGCGCGATGATGATGCTGACGATGGCTCCATGCTGACTAGCAAAAAGACAAAAAGGACGAGGTCTACGGCTCCACCCTAACTCTGGAGTGTAGCCGAAAAGACAAGAGGACCACATGTTCTTACCTATCATTGGCGGAGCAGGAAGTGTACCTATCATGCACACGAAGACTCCTCAGTTGTATGATGTCGCTGGCTGTTTCTGGGTTCTCACTACGACATCTACGAAGCAATCTACGAGTTTAGAGTCATTTCTAGTGCGGCAGTGTGCGTGGATTTTGGGTCCAAAACCGTGCGTCACCCGATCAGCCAATCAACCCTTTTGCAACTGGCTTGCAACGTCACGCCAGGACAGCTAATCAACCCTAAACCCTAAACCCTAAACCCTTCAACCCCTAAACCCTAAAGCCATTTTTCAAACAAACCCCTAAACTTGCCCTAAACCCGACCACCCGATCAGCCGATCAGCTGATCGGCTGATTGGCTGATGCACAGTTTGGAAACCCACTGTGCGAGCACAATGTAGTGTTGCCCCGAGGCCATGCACACGAAGACCGAAGCATGAATCTCAAGAGAGGAGCGTCTAGGCTGTAGAGACTATAATAGAGACCCCGGAGAGGCTTTTGCTGTTCAAAGCCATGCCTTGCACAGCCAGTCGACACATCATTCTCAACAGTTTTGACCACAACACCCAACTGGACCCATGCTGCGCACCCATGCCAGCATGGCCGCGGCGCGCCTCGAACATCGTCAGAAGGGTTGCCGAGAAGCTTCCATAGTAGCGGAAAACAGCAAATCTCGCTTCCATCGGCGCGCTCTGGTCGACCATGAACTCACTCACCTGACGTTGCACTTCGAGTGGCACAGCGAAGCATCCGCATGTTGTCGAACCCATGGGTACACGACCAAGCCCACGGCCATATAGCTGATCGTCATTCCTGCGCTAATCTGAATGATCATCAAGAGGAACCTTCGCGACAGCTGAACTCAACGCTTTGAGATCCTCGCACCAAATCCGGAAGTGTGCACCCAAACCGTCACATTAAGCCATCGACAAAGACCAGAAAAGGATACGAACCTGAGCGAGGCAAAGCCTTTCTGGCTGCGAAAGCTGCCCACGCAGCTTTGCACGAAGCAGTCAAAAAGCCGGCCTGTGCCTTTCTAAAAGTGCTTCGCTTACGGCTTACGGCTTGCTTGCGAGGCGCGCTTGCAGATATGCACTTCCTGAGCATGTGGCAGTTTGGATGCTTTCGGCCCACACCTCCTGTGCCTGGGCCTCCTGGTCTGGTCGCGACATGCCACCAAGGTGCAGCAGCAGCTGCAATGATTCTAGCACTGCAGACATTCTCACTACTCGAATAGCTCGAAGCAACCTTGGAATAGCATAAGGATGCACAAGGGCTCGCTACTTTCTCGATATCAACACCAAAGACGGCTTGAAGAAACTTTCCGGACGAGCTTCTTCCCCAGCCGCAGCAGTCGAAGAAACGTAGGACTTATCGGAAGAAGTGCAGCTGCAAACAACTCCAGCCATGAGCTGCACACGACAAGGAAGTCAACCCAGTTCAGCGTGTACTTCCAGAATGTCATTCGCAAGTAATACATGCGAGTCAGCATTTCGATCCTGGGGAAGGCATCGAATGCAAACTTTCACACTGCACTAAGTCGCTAATAAAGCACTCGAGACAACCATTCGAACATAATCTTTGGCAGTGCTTCGTAAACACAGATGCAAAACTCACGTCACCCACGAGGAAGATTTGGTCGGAATTCGGCCATGCCTGACATAAGGCGAGGTCGCCAGGACTCACAAAGCCTTTGAAGAACGCACAGCAAGTTGCCCCCGCCTCTTCCGCTGCGACATCGTATCGGGGGTACCCAATGCTGTGGCCAATTCTCAGGCCGAGGTACTGTAGCTGAGCAGCCATGAAACACACGTTCACAAAAAGCAGAGCGGCAATCAACATCTCAAAAGTGCCTCGGTCAGAGAATAGCTGGCGTCCGACAAAAGCAAGAGACGAGGGACAAATCTCTCAAGCTTCGGGCGAGAGGCTGCTCAAGAAAAACGCCCGAACACGATCGATGCCAGTGTCAATATGCAAATCGCTGCTGGCTTCAGATTCGCTCTCCAGCTGCAGCCCCGGCAAATCAACCGACTGTGACGACTGCATGGAACGCAGCGACGCGGATGCCTGGGCACCTGCCGACGGAAATAGCTGTGCCCTTTCAGGCGACCCTGAAGCAGCATTCACCTTTTACCGTCATCTGATCTGATTTGTCTGACTTGTCCATCGGCTCCTCTTGGTCCCCCCGCCTTGGCTTTCAAGGCCCGCAACGGCGCCCGCACCACTGGAGACAGTGGCCCGTAGATCTTCATCGCGGACTCGGGAATCACAGCGGCCAATGGCCTCACGGGATTGACAGAGTGCACTCTGTCTGTGTCCGCCCTCCTGCCTTTCTCATCGCGCCTGAACCGGTGGAGAGATCCTGAGCTTGCACGCTGTGCTGCAACACATCGTGCGAAACGATCTGACAGCAACAGGCAAAAAAGAATCGCTCTTACCACTTCTTCAACCAGTTTGTAGACAGAGCTTCGAAGACGGAGCAGGAATTCGTGAAGGTGTTGCTTGGCATGTTTCTGGTCGGAGCCGTCCCACCTGCAGTGAACCAAAACATGAGCCAAAAGGTCAGAAACACCATCAAAGGCACCGGCACGCATACAGTCTCAACGACAATCAATGACCAGACACTAACCGGCTAGAACGTGCGAGCAGAGAGAGAGAGAGAGAGACAGAGAGACAGAGAGACAGAGAGACAGAAAGAAAGAAAGAATCAAAGAGACAAAGACACAAAGACACAAAGATACAAAGACACACACATAGAAAGAAAGAGAGCGCGATAGAAACGGAGACAGGGAGAGCTAGAAACAAACACACAGACAAAGCGAGATGGCAAGAGGTCGGAGAGCGGAGCGGCGCTGAACAGAGAGGAGAAGGAGAATACGGGCCTCTTCGAGGTGCACGGCAGCCAGCTCTTCCAAGAGTGCCGCAAAACGTGGAGACAAGCCAACCGGCGTCAAGGCTGTGTCATCCATCCTCATGCAAGCAAGCACCAACATGCAGCACCGGGAAGCTGAGAGTTTTGCGCGGTCCGTGCCACTCCTGCCATGCGCTGGAATGCTCGCAAAGACCAGCAGCTGTGCTCTCGAGCAGAACGCTGGGATGGCACAGAATGGCTACAACATGTTGTGAGTGTCAATGCGCACTGCAGGGTTTGATGTACAGGTTGCAGACTGTCACAGGTTCCTCTTTTCGCTCTCAGCCGACATCTTGGCCCTCACAGAGAGACCACTGCCGATGAAGGAATTCTTTCCTTTGTAGGAGTGGCTCCGCACAGCTTCAACCGTACCCACATGATTTCACTCACATTCCATGTTTTGCTTGCCAAGTGACAGCTCCTGCCCTGCCTTATTAGGTGCTTGCGGCTACACGTCTAACCGTTTGCACCTCGAACGACCCCGGTGGTACTGTGGCTAAACGCCCTGACGGAGCATGAAGTGATCCAAGAAGCCCCTCTCCAAGGTCCGGTGGACTTGTTGGGGCGCTGTGGCAAATCCACATGCCGCAAAGCCGCATCTGCTTCAAGAGCGGGCTCGCCTGCAAGTCAACCCTTTCAAACCGATACAAGTACCAAGCTAAATCTCCGAATCAGCAAGTTCTGCAAGCCAAGCCCTTAAGCTCGGACCTCCTTCAGGAACTGCTGCAGGGTGGCTCTCAGGTTGTAACCTCTGTGTGTAGCAACTTGGATCTTTTTTGCCAGCCAGCCCTGTTTGCGCAGGAACAGGAAGAGAGCGGGCATGGTCCTGCATGTCCCGTGGATGAGGTTCCTGTCGCGGCTTACCAGGAAGGCTCGAGGAAATTTTCTCGAGCTGGGCACGGAGAGCCCTTGAAAATGCGACCTGTCGAGCTTTGCCTGCATGAGCCACAAGTTCCTGCCACTGGTCCTCCGAGCCATCCGGCATGTCTGGAACTGACCCACTTGCAATAAGGCCCTCCACAACTTGCCGAGACATTGCTGCAATGTCTGAGGGCAGGTACTGCAGGTCATTGCTGTAAGCCTCGATGGCCTGCTGAAGAGCGAGATTGTCCTGTAAGGCGAGCCATATGCATGTGTGCGACATGCATGTGCATCCGAACATGTCCTGTAAGAGATGCTCCAGATCTTCACGATTGATGGCTCCGGACAGCAGCGGAGCACGCCGTAGCAGAATGAAGGTCGCTGACGAGGAGATGTCGAAGCTTTCCAAAGTGTCACCGTCCTCGACCTGCTTATCCTTCAGCAACAAGATCTGGTTGCCCACCGGCGTCCCTGAGCGGCTTTGCTCTCAACACTCGAAGCGTGACTGACACGAAGGCATTTGGAGATTCTGTGGAGTCTTCCGAACCCCGGCCGTTCGGAGCAAGTCATAGACAAACACTGTTTTTTCGTTCACGCAAACAGCACGTCGCGAAAGATTGCTCATGCTGAACATGCAGCAAATCGATTCCGAAAGTTATCACTATGAAGGGCAGTGCATGCTTGACAGCGAGTCCGTAAAAAAATGTCGTGCCAATCCTGGAACACTGGTGTCACTCTGGAGCCTGCAAGATAATTACGCACACATGCGGTGGAAGAGTGTCACATAGTGTCACTGATGTTGCTCACCTGGTGCCACCGGATGTACCCTTCGCTATGGCGAGCTCAGTCCCAGCTCCCCGCTCCTGGGAGCTACCCATCCAGCAGTTTGCGTGGACGGGCTCGGCTGTAAAGGCTAGGTTCACGGCGGAACGGGCGGGGAAAGGATTTGGGCGAGAACCCCCCACACTCGAATCTGGACAGTGGGTAAAATTACTACAATTTTTGGACGGGTAAAGAAATACGTCCCCTTTTTGGTACTCCTGTTTGGGCTGTGCACGGATCCCCGCGTTCCCTGGCGCTTGAAGGTTCGCCGTTATCGGCTGTCGGTGAGTCGGCCGACTCTGCGGGCCAGGGGTGGCCTGGTACCCATCCCTCGCTCTCTCTCTCTCGCTCTTTCTTTCTGCCGGGCTTAGGGGTCACTGTCGTGACCCGCAGGCTTTCAGCCCGCCCGTCCCTCACACTGTGCTAGTGAGCGGACGGCTTTTGGGGTACTCCAGACTACGGCACTGTACTACCTAGTGTGCCCCGAACGCTAAACACCGACACAACCCCCGCCTCATCGCCGTGCCCCTACGGCTAAAAATCCTTAGCCTCTCGCTGGTTCGGGGGGGCCTGAAAAAGGTTGCCGGTTGAATTTCCGTTCCCCCCGCCCAGAGCGGAGAAGAACGTTTAATTTGCGGTAAAAGGGCGGATCAGACTTCGTCAGGTGACGGCGGTGCAATGAATTGCAGAATTAGGAAAGAAACTGTCGGGTCGTGACAGTGACTTTGAAGAGACTGTGCTATGGGACATGTATGGTACAGGGTTCGTGCATCCCCCGGCAAGGGTGTACAATGGAGAAACCCCCCATGAAATGGGAAAGGGCTCAGGCATTACAGGCCACGGCAGAAAAGGGAGGCCAGCAGAAACCACAGAGAACCCTAGCGAAAAGCAACACCAAAACAAAAACCGAAGTCCCCTCTCCCATCCCCCGCTTTGGCCATCACTCGAAAAAATTTTGCCGCGCTCACTCCGTCTCACTGCAGGACCTCCTGGTGTTCCCCTCGACCTAGTCGGCGTCATCCCCTCCGGTGTCTGGCCATGTGGTCTTGCACCTGTTGTACCTGCCATCGCAAGCTGGGTGCCAAGGCGACCCGGTGGCTGTCTTGGGCGCCCGTTGGCTTCCCCGCTCTGTCGGACAGGCTGCAACGGCGTTTTGCCTTTGGTTCCCCCGTGGGCTCGCTCGGTCTTCGTTGTCCGGGTTCAGAGTCCGACGGTCTGCCAGCTGGGGCCCCATGGCCACATTGCCTCGACTTGGTCCTGGTAATGGTCGTTGTTGTTGTCGTCCTGCTCCCCCCGGTCTGCTTCTTGGTGGTCTTCGTCCGGTCGCCCCGGTTGGGCTTCCCCCTCTTCATCTTGGCTGTCCGGGCTCCCCCAGTCCGGTGGGGTGGCTGAGGCACAGTACTCCTTTCTCACATTTGCAGTGGTCACCCCCTGTGAGCTACTGGCTGGTTCCCCTCGCTCTGTTGTTGGTGGTGGCGTGTCCTCCTCGTCGGTCGTGTCGTCGGTTGAGTAACCTGTGGGAAAACCTGGCCATGTACTTCTCGTAGTCCCCCGCGGCTTCGGATCCGAGGGCCTCCCCCGACGGCATAAGCAGGCACCGCCCCGATCACTGACGTGTGGTAGTCCCTCGCCCAAGCGTTGGCAATCCCCCTGCGAAGCTCGGCCCTGGTGCTGTCAGGGTGCTTGTTGGAGAGGTACGTCTCCCCCCGTCAAGAGCGAAGACGGTGAGGGACTTGCAGTAACGAGGTCCCCCGCAAGAACAAAGAATGTCACACTCGTGAAGGGCGAGTATAGCGTCACCTAAAGAGGCTGCTGGAGCAACGTGGCGGCAGATTTGCTAGCTCAAGCACCGCTGGAGGAAGACGGCGGAAGCTCGCACGGGGCACAGCCCGAGTTAACCCGAGTTAACTCCGCGTCTTCCCCCCCGATGCGGGAAGGCTGAACAGGCCCTCCCACAAAGGTGCAGCACTTGAGCCAAAATGGCCTCTCTCTCTCTCTCTCTCTCTCTCTCCCTCTCTCTCTCCCGGGCATGGGGAACGTGCGAATTAATAGTCCCCCAGGCGACTTGCCCACCGGGCATTGCAGGCTTGGTAGGAGAACTGTCAACGAGACGTTGACATACCAGTGGTAACGAAGCGCCTTCTCGCATGAATATATAGTCAGTCTCTCTCGCTCGCATGCGGGCAAAGGGAGCAGTCAGTCTCTCTCTCTCTCTCTCTCTCTTCTTCTTCTCCCGAGGCTTGGGGGCATGCCCCCGCAGAAGCAGCCCGACTGTTGGTTGGGTGCACGGTTTTACGTGTGAAAATGACTGATCCCTCCACTGGCTGAGCTTTCACGTGTGTAGTTACGAGGACCGAACCTGAGAATTACAGAGCGTAAAATGTGTTTGCTCATGCCCCGCTGTCTGCTGCTTTGGGCCTCGCAGGTGTTCCATGAAGGTCCCTGGTGTGCCTCGTCTGGAATACTCAAAACACGACCAGTGCATGACCACCCCGATTTGAGCACTGGTTCCTGGGCTCCGGCCTGTACTGCAGTGGTTCTGTGGACTGTGGATCGGTTCTGCGGTGGCGGGCTTTAGGGGTTGAACTGGACTCGCAGGGACCTGGCATACAATGAATGATGAACATGTGTGACCTTCCCTACTGCACATGGCACAGACGCTACATTATGTTGCCTCGCCCCGGCACTTGGTAAAAACTTGTCCTAGGACCTAGGAGCTTCACAGTCTCTCTCTCTCTCTCTCTCTCTCTCTTGCTTGCTTCACTGGGTCAGAGCCTGGTCTCCCAAACCGGCGCATCCGTGCTCCCGGCCCATCACAGTAAGGAGAGCAGAGGACATTGGGGAGGTCAGAAGATGATCTACTGTGCGCGCGGAACGGGAGGCATTGCGTGACTAGCGCTCGCGTCCTGTCCCCGCCCTTTGGCACCATCCTCTCCCTCTGTATGCCAGGCACACTGCAATCCTTCCAGAGCGCCTGGTGCCTGCAACAAGCCGCCACGCAGCGAGTAACTGAAAAATCCAGGGTCAAAATCTCTCCAGCTTGATGGCTGTCTGACTTAAGGTTCTCAGAGCCTCACAATACCAAATCATGATGCTGACGGGCTGGGTTTTCCACACCGCTTAAGGAAGTTCAAGCGCAGGTGAATGTCCTACGTGGGCTGGAGGATGGGGTGCGAGGTTTTCTCACGAGAAATCTGCCACATCAACAGCATTACTGGCCTTCAAGACCTGCGATTTGGGTCTTCAACTGCAAAACTGGCTTCTGCGGGTTGACTGACAGCTCTGCGACCACTTCTCCGGAAGGAAGCGCGATGCTTACAGCAACCGCCTCCATTGCTCCCAGCGCGGTAGTTATTGAGCCCTGTTTCTTCACAAGACGCTGAAATGTCCCGGAGTTCCGGATGTGTCTTTCACTTGAAGCAGCTAGTAGCTACTGACTGAGCTGTGTGTAAAAGGACATGGCTATCTCCGACCACGAGACTCAAGATCCAACGAAGAGAAGATACGCGGTGTGAAGCAGGCAAATCTCCATTGCACTGGCAAACCCGCGTATCTTCGCTTGAATAGCATTGCTACGCGCATCTGTGGGTGAGACTGTGGTGAGACCGAGTCAATGGCACTTGCCATGGCTATGTACACTGTTAGTCCTGGTCCTAAACTGTTGGACACATGTCCTTTGGCTCCTCCGTGCACCGGCTTCGTCAACTTCCTACCAGATTGGCTGCTCAGGGTGTCCCCGGTGAAGAATCAGCGTTCTCGTCATCTTGACGCCAAGAGTCCCACCACAGCTTCATCGAATGCCTGTCACACGAACCTGATGGGGAATATGGAGGCACATGGCATACCAAGGCATGGCCCTCGGTTCACTCTGCCAGCCTGCGAACCCTTGAGGTCCAATGCCTTGGCTACCTTCTGCTCGGCCAGGTGGCCAAACTTGACCTCGGATTTTGACGCGAAGTCGTCGCCGATTTACATTGACACAAGGTCCCAAGGTGACACTCCAGACTGTTTTCGGGCCTTGTCCTCGATGGTGTCTGCCCTTCGCGGCTGAGGATCCCACTGGCGGACGCTTTGCAAACCTATGAAGGCCTGAGTCCAGCCATTCGCAGCTTCAGTGGGACGAGCTTCTCTTTCTCTCGCAATGCCTTCTCCTGGCACACATGCTCTGCCATTCTGTGCATGCTGCCGGCTAATTAGTACAGTTTTCGAGTTTTCATTTCTCCTGCTCACGTCGGATCTTCTCATCCAATTCCTGCTTGCGTTTCGCCTGCAGTCAAGGGATCAAATGCTACAATCCACAGCAACATTCAAAAACGACTCTGGCGCAGCAAGGCTAGCCTCTGCCGGCCTCGCGCGCCTCTTCTCGCTTGCGAGCTTCGTGCGCGCGCTTGAGGGACTCGTCTGCTTCCCTGTCAGCCTGGAACTTGCTCAGTTGAATTGGACCCGCGCAACACCGAGGTCACACACATCCCATGATCCAAGCAGCAGCAATCTCAGCATATGCAGCTTGGGCTAGGTTGCGATATCTTGTAGCCTCGCATGTCTGGCAATAGTAATCCAACACTGTTGAGGCCAAGGCCCTGCCTCCGTTTTCAGAGCTGCCTCAATACGCTCCGATAACTCCTGGTATGCATGCTCTCGTTCGACCCGGTGGCCCTCGTCCCTGAATTGCGGTCCTTCGAATGCCGCTGTGTCTGCATGCCCTTCAGGCCCACGGCGCTGATCTGCTCTGACCAACGCATGAGGAAGTCGCTGCTAAGATCCTCGCATGGCCAACAACCAGCAGCCACAACCCTTCGATAGTTAAAGTACATGCTACATGTGAGGCAGCACCTCTTCCGCCAGTTTGTCGAGTTTGGCCTGGATCATCCCAACATGTAGCAGCAACAAGTACGACTGTGCCTAAGACTAGGATTAAGCCTACGAGGCCATCGATGGAAACGGGCTGTTCTCGGATGCAACGAGCACACGTTTGGGCAAGCATTGCTTGCAATTTCGGACCACTAGCACCCAAGGCTAACGAGTGCAAGACTCGCCGTATCTGGACACGTCTAATCATAATGTGATAACATGCCTTTCTGCGCCACTTCCTTTCGCAAGAACTCGACAAGTCACAAGCAGCTACGAGAACAAGCTGCGGCCACAGGATACACACTGAAGAAACCTGACTCTACTACATACGAAGTTTACAAATCATATCCTCATGTTCGTGCATCTCAGCCAGAGTCGTCTCTCCCATGCCACATGAACAAGCGCCTCTGCATCTTGCAGACGTGCCGCCACGGCTCGCCGCACGCCCTGCAGAGGAGCACATGTAAGCAAGATGAACCAAGTTTATGTCCCACGATGGCTTCTCGGCACCGTAAAGGACCATGTATTGTATGATCTTGTTTGTTGACGAAAGGAACATGCAGCAATGCAACAACATTAACAACGACAAAGAACCACATCAATAAAGCCCGACACCAAGCACCAGCAAAAGGAGTAGCAGCAGCAGTGGACGTCGTATGCGGGTGGACGAAAATTTCGGCGCAAGCTGTGATGGAGGGGTAGAGGCTGGTTGACGAAACATGTTCACCGCTGACGTGCTTTCGGCCGATTTTGCTTCGCATCGGCTAGGCTTGGATTCATGTCGTTTGCCACTTTTTGGCAACATCGACGTTCCGGGCGGGCGGGAGGGACCGAAGCAGAGTAAACATGCTAGCTCATGTTCACCCCTGACATGAATTCGGCCGATTTTGCTTCGCATCGGCGAAGCGAGGCTTGGATTCATTTCGGTGTGCCACATTTTGGCAACACCGAGCTCCACCACCTTGGCACAGCCATCAGCTGGAGGGCTATGCAGCATGAGCGCAGGGCTGAAGCAGCAAGAAAGGAACGGCTCGCGCCGCTTCAATGGCCTCCTTGGCATATCGTGGCAGAGCCGGCAAAAAAATCGATCCTGCCGCGACCTCCTGCAAGTAGAAACTCGACCCAGCCTGGCGTTGCAGCTTCATTCGCCACTGTAAGTCAGGTATACTGACTCCGGCTTGGTAAGCTGCAACCGCTCCACCGCTTCGCAAGGATCCAGGCCGCCAGGATAGTGTCCCAGCACTGTCGGTTAATCATGAACAACACCACGGCTTGCTCCTAGCCTCGCCGGCACTTCCATACAAGGGAGCCAAGTCGCTCCGCAACACTCCAATCCACACCTTCACATGCCAAGCGGGATGTGCCTCTCGACGATCTGTCTCCCGGTTCTGTGTCCCGGTTCTGTGCTAGGCGGCATGACGCATGAGGGACCCGTACTAAGTACCCTCCATCCATCAAAGCGATACCTGTCACCTAGCATGACACCGGCGGTCCATCTTTCTCAGTCTGCCCGATGAAAAAATCAGGACCAACGTCACTGAGAAGATTGTTTCCCAGGTCGGGGGGGGGCCCTGCTGCCTCGCTCGGAGGCACCTGAACCTTCAGAGTTGACGCGACCATCGCCCGTCAAGGCAGGCCAAGGGTCCTGTTCCGGCCTGACATCAGGTTGAAAAGGCAACCCCACAAACAACCGTTGCCCGCTGTCCAGCAACTCGCGAAAAGCAGGCGCTCTTCAGGGCAGTGGCACCGTTTTGAAAGGAGCTTCGAAGGCTGCATGAGAGCGAACGCTCGAATCGTATGCGGTTTTGGTGGCCCCAGAAAAACCCGAGGGTTGAAGGAAGAAACTCCCACGAAAGGGGACTCCCATGGTCCGAGACTCAGGGCGACATGAGCCAGCCCGGCTGACTCTCGCAACCCCGCTGCGGCACTCTCAACCTTCGAACCCAGAGAAGAAAGGGCCGAACGCGGGCAGGCCAAGTTGCACACTCGCTCCGGCGCTTTGCTTCGCTCAGTGCAAGGAAAGATAAGGCACGGGCATAGGCTACACGCGCCCCACTGGACCTCGACTGCAGCGAGGTGTCGATCGTATGGAGTGCCACCGGATCTAAAACATCCAAGGCAGGAGAAAAAATAGTGCCACAAATCGGCAGGATGGAAGGTGGATGCTGAAAAACCCGGCCACGGACCCGAAGGTGCCGGAGGGCTTGCAGTCCCTGAAGGTAGCACCACTTGTAGGGAAGGCACCGGGCGTAGTAGAACCGGGTGCTTCCAGTAAGTGCCGACCCTCTTTTGCTTGCAAGGAAGTTTGTGTCACCACGAAGGCACCTGTACGGAAGGAACCGGTCGCACTAGAGCCGGATGCTTCCAGTCAGGACAAAGGCTCTTATACTGCTCTTATGCTCGTAAGGAGGCGTGTGGCACCACGAGGGCTCCTGTAAGGAAGTAACCGGTCGTAGTAGAGCCTGATTCTTCCAGACAGGACAATACCTCTTTTGCTTGCATGCATGTTGACAGCATCACGTCAGGTGTTTTTAAGTTTTCGGGTCAGTCTCAAAGGCGTCGAACGACCTGCTAAGCTCCGGTGCCACAAACGTTGTTGCATCCACCTCTGGCTCCGGTGGTCCATGCAAGTCAGATGACCCAGGCGGAGGCTAGTTTTGCGAACCGGGCGCAGGAAGTAACAAAGGCCGGCGAGCTCGGGAATTGCTTGAAAAAAGCAGGGAAGACCACCGCAGCTTATCACTTCGTCCCCCTGATCGTGCCGATTCGCCGCCGAGCAGTCGGCAATGCCCGCGACCGCCAATGACCAGCCCCGCGAGCCGCGGGATGTGAGCTACCCCCGCATCGTCGCGGAGTGCTGCGACGCCGCCGGGCCCTCCCAGCGAGAGCCAAAGCCCCAGGTCGACTCCATCGGCTCAGTCGAGCAACTCTTCGAGGTCTCCCTCGGTTTTTCTCCTCCTGCCCCGGAGCCGGGGCAAATCCCTATCGTCAAGCAGCCATCCCATCTAATCAACACACGCGAAGCACTGTTGGCAGCAAATGATGAAAGCATCTGTTTCATTTATTTGAGGCCATCCAGCCTACTCTGCAACCTTAGCCTGTTCCGGCCAGGCACAAGGATGCCAATGATCATGATGATGGTGGCAAAGTGGACGTTATCAGCCCCCCCCCCCCCCACCCCCCGACCCCAACAACAACAACAACAACAACAACCACAGCCACAATCACAACGACAACGGCAACCACGACGACGACAACAACGACAGCTTCCAAAAGCAACAGCAGCAACAGCAACGGCAGACGGAGGAAGGACAGCCAAAGGCTGGCAGGCTGTTGCCGTGAAGTCTGGCGTGATTCTGCGCACACATACATTGACAAAGACAAACGGTGACAACTCCGACAGACCCGCAATTATCGGCCTACACCATTCAGATTGTATAATTGCGTGTTGAAGATGCATGTTCTGCCTTTGTCTCTTAAACTTTACCCCTGCGAAGCGCTTGCTCCAGCGCTTGCTCTATCCTGGCCTCGGCTTGTTCACTTTCGATGCTTAGGCCTTGAGCCAGCACGGGCCTTGGCTCCGACCTCCAAGACAAAACAGTGAGTCATTTTATTACCGTATACCGGAAAACTGCTTGGGCCTGGAGGTGATGGCCTTTTGTTCCGGATGCATCCTGCTTGCGAGCGCCTTTGCTCGGGCCTTGAAGGATGCAATCGTGCCCATGGCTTCTGCCAGCTGCGCTTTCCTGTGGTGGGAACACCGGGATGGTTTGATTTGGGGATGCATATGATCCTCCGGCTTTAGGTGCCGCACAGCTGCAATTGCGGTTCGGAGCGTTGGGCAAGATCCGAAGCGTTCTCAATGGTCTTCCCACCGGGCGCGAAAGAGCTTGCTTCTATCCACTCTCGGGATCGGAACAACCACTCACGGACGCTGCCGATGGCGAAAGCACATAGGTTTTCCTGATCCGAAGGGCCGCTGAAACAAACCAGACACTGCAAAACCTTCCCTCATTTTACAGCAGTCACAGTAGGACTCGTCACTTCACGGCTGTTCGGACAGATCACGGACTGCAGCATAGCCCCGTTGGATCTGCGTTGCAGCAACTGCTTGCCACACAAAATCCGGTTCAGATCCTCCTGCACAGGGCTGAAGGCAAAGTCTTTTGTGGCTTTGTCGGGGTTTGTCGATCAACAATTGATTATATGTCGGATCCTGTGTTCGCCAAAGGACTTGGACTGCCTCGGCACGCAAAGGCCTGCGGGAGCAGAAAGACTCAAAACATCCACTGCTTTGGTTTCGACCTTGGGTGCCACGACCGGCCTGACACGTTTGTGTCGAAGCAACTCATCTTTGAGTTTTCGAGCTTCCAGCACCAGCTGTTCGCCCATGAAGCGTGTGCGAAGCTTGTATCGCTCGTGGAATAGCTTTTCCTTCTCGGCATGAAGAGCAGCCTTTCAGAATTCACCAAAACCAGCGGCTTGAAGATCGCGCCCTAAAGCACATTCAACATGGACGGATCAAATGCCTGCCTGGTGCGCTTGCTCTTTCCGCAGAATGTCTTCTTCGGCTTTCTGTTTAAGCTTGCTTTCGGCTTTGCTTGCTTCCTGCCGCAAAGTTTCCAGCTCGTCCTGCCAGCAACCGATGGCAGCCTTTGACTGTTTGGCTCTGACGTCTGCACGGCTGCCTTGAAAGCTTCCTCCTTCTCTTGGATTGAACGTTCCTGTTGCTGAAGTGCCCGCTCCGATTCTGCTTTTTGCCTCACAAACATCGACATGTGGCCAAGCATCAGCTATCGTCTTGATAACGGATCAGACTGAAACCAATCCATCCAAAGATCTGAGCCAGCTCATCTTGCTCTTTCACGATAGTTGCAAAAGCTTCGCGTTC